TCTATAAAAGAGGAAAATGTTTGTTTGTTTGTTTGTAATTTATGGACTCGAAAACCGGTGAACAGATTTTCTTGAAAATTTCTATGTATTCTACAATATAGCCTGAAAGTAACATAGGCTATATGCATTTTTGAAATTCTACTTGGAACGGAGGTACCTCCTAAAAATGTAGTTTATAAATGCACATGTCTGTTGACCGATTACAGATACAGTCTCCAAATTTGAAATGCATAACGGCATTCGAAACAAAAATAAATTTGCCAAATTATATTGAAATCGGTTCAGATTTGGATACAGCTCCCATATATTTTTCGGGCGATATCATGTATTTGATACATTTAACACGCTGTGTACGCCACATTTCAATGAAATTTGGAATGTATGATGGAATTTTGTTCAATAAATAAATTTACCAAATTATATAGAAATCGGTGCAGACTTGGATATAGCTCCTATATATTTTCGATTTCACACATTTGATGCACCAAACACGTATATGTTCCAATGAAGTTTGGGATGTATGACGGCAGATTTGGATATAACTCCCATATATATTTTCGTCCGATTTTGTTTATTTGATGAACCAAACACAACATGTATGTCCGATTCCAATGAAATTCAGACAGAGAGAAGAAATCTGGAAAAATGTGCTAAATTATATTGAAATTGGTTGAAGTTTGGGTATAGCTTCGATAGTATAGATTAAATAATTTTTACTTGCTCAGCCCTCACACCTTTGTTATTTTTAGGAAAATCCAACCGGTCTTTTGAAGATGAGTGGCATTTCTGTTGCAATTAGTGAATTCGAGTTAGCAACTCCTAAAAATAACAAAGGTGTTAGGGCTGAGCAAGTAAAAATTATGAGCCGAAGTTGAACTAAGACAACCTAAAACTCCTTTGCTCATTTACGAAAAAACCAGCCGATGAATTAAGCAAGTCAAAAAAGCCTTTTATATAACCTCACCTAAAAGGTGAAAATACATAAACAGCTTTTTAATGGCTCTAGTCATCGGCTAGCTTTTTACGTAAAAGAACAAAGGAGATTTAGGTTGATTTAGTTCAATTTTGATCCATAATAAAAACTTGCTCACCTTATGCTCTCTTTTTTTACAAAGAACCCAGCCGATGACTTAAGCCAGTCAAAAAAAAAAAACAGTTTTATGTATTCTCACCTTAACTGTGTGTGTATGATCTTTATAGAACTGCTTCCTGTCCGTCTGTTTGTTCACATGTTCTTGTAATCAAAGTACATGATTTTGTTCGTGTCTTCATTCATATATGCTTTTAAAATGAATCATGTGCAGCTTTTTAAATATCTGGAAATTTTTAAGATTTTTTGAACTTTGAGACATGCATAGTGTATATACAAACTCATATAATCATTCGAATGGAACACCTACTCGGCTAACATGAAGCTCACTGAAGCACAATTAAATTTATATTTAATCTATACTAGCCGTCTTGGTGTTATCAATGCTATTCCGGAGGTCAAACTTTCGTGCTTTTATTTTATAACTACACGTATTTCTTCAGCATGTTGTATTTATTGATTTATTTGTTCTATTAACCGATGAAATACTCGATATTTTGCAGCAGTTGTCATTTTTTAGGATGAGATGAGGAGAGAGAAAAGAAACGTTTACAATTTATGAAAACATGGTAAACATTACCATCGTTCTCCACTAATAAACAAATGTTGTTTTATAAAAACAACAATAATGGGATTAGGCCTGACGATTTTTGCAACAACTAGAAAACATAAAACGTTTTATCAGGCATGACACAAGAATGAATTCGGTACGAAAGTGATTTCAATTTCGTATTTAGCTTCTTGAGAAAATGTAAATCGCAAAATTTTTTCGATTTGAACCCACTTTTGTTTTTGCAGGTGAAATTGCATTTTTATGGAAACTTGTGACTTTAAAACACTCTCAAAATACTTTTAGGTAATAAAAATGTTATCTTAATGACAAATACTTAATTAAATTTACATTTTTAATCTTATTATTCAAAATAATTAGCAAATTTTAATGGTTTCTCAATTGACGAAGGCAATTGTTAACAAAGTGTTGCCAAATCACCTTTTTCGTCAAACATTTACGAAGAAGCCAGCCGATGACTTAAGCCAGCCAGATCAGCGCTTTATGTATTTCCAGCTTTAAGCCAGCCAAATATGCGCTTTATGGGAATACATAAAGCGCTTAGGCTGGAAATACATAAAGAGCATATTTCGTTGGCTTAAGTCACCGGCTGACTTCTTCGGAAATGAACAAAGGAGCCCAGGGCCAAAACCGAACTAAGTCAACCTAAAACTCCTTTGTTCTTCTACGAAGAAGCCAGTCGATGACTTAAGCCAGCCAAATATGCTCTTTATGTATTTCCAGCCTTATGCTAGGAACACAATTGGAGCGAACGACGAATTTTTTCGCGGCGTATGTTCGTCGTCAAAAATAAAACACATATGTGTATATGGAAGTGCACACAATCACGGCACCGGCGAAAATTTCGTCGGTCGCCGCGAACTCAATTAGCTTTATTTCTATTTCATACGCCGGCGACCGGCGAACAAAACTGTACAAGGTGGCCATACTTGTACGAATTTTATGTGTTTTAGTAAATAAAGTTACTTTTTACTTTAAAATTTGTTATGGTCACTCTACTATCTGTTACTCGTATAAAAAAAACATAATTAATTTGTTTATTTATTTGTGTACTTGCGCCTGAGTGAAGATGGATATCAGTGAATTTATAATAGAGAAGATGGACATAAGTGAAATTATAATAGAGAACGTAAAGAATTATGTGTTCTTGTATAATTCATTGTAGTCAACAAATGAGCAAAAAGTAAACAACTTCATCAGCTGTTTTATAATTTCGTCGGTATTGTGTTCCATACGACGAATTTTCGCGGCTCATTTTGTCGCCGCGTAGGGCGAAATTCGTCGTTCGCTCCAATTGTGTTCCTAGCATTATTTGACTGGCTTAAGTCATCGGCTGGCTTCTTCGTAAATGAACAAAGGAGTTTTAAGTTGACCTAGTTCGATTTTGGCCCTAGGCTCCTTTGTTCATTTCCGAAGAAGCCAGCCGATGACTTAAGCTAGTCAAATAAGGCTGGAAATACATAAAGCGCATATTTGGCTGGCTTAAGTCATCGGCTGGCTTCTTCGGAAATGAACAAAGGAGCCTAGGGCCAAAATCGAACTAGGTCAACCTAAAACTCCTTTGTTCATTTACGAAGAAGCCAGCCGATGAATTAAGCCAGCCAGATAAGCGCTTTATGTATTTCCAGCTTAAGCGCTTTATGTATTCCCAGCTTTAGGCTGGCTTTAGGTTAACTTAGTTCGATTTTGGCCCTTGGCTCCTTTGTTCATTTCCGAAGAAGCCAGCCAAATAAGCGCTTCATTCTATGGAGGGTATATTAACTTTGTCAATCCGTTTGTAACTCTTCGAAATATTCATAATAGACCCTACCATTTATATATATATTGTATATCAGCGGAAAATTTTAAGACGATCTAGCGATGTTTTTCTGTCTGTATGTCTGTCTATTGTAATATGTCTGTATGTTTGTCTATTGTAATCAAACGAATAGATAGATGGTTATAATTTTGCATTCATGCATAGTTTACCAGTAGGCAGGTTAAGGTCGTAAATGGGCCATGTCGGTCCACGTTTTCGTATATCCCCCATATAATGGTACCTCCAGATATTCGGTACTTGCAGGCCCACGTCTTCGTATAGCGCCAATATAATGGTAACTCCCTATATACACGGAATTTTGATGATTTTAGCTACATTATTCACCGATTTTTTTTTTAAGTTTCGCATTTGAGTATTGTAATGACTGATGACAAAAGTTATCTATGCAGGTATATATTGTCGTATAGACCCTAATATAACAGCTACATTTTTTATTTTTAAGATTTTAACAGAATTTTTAACGGATTTTATTTTCGAAAATTGCCAAAATCGTTCCAAATGGTGGAGCGTATTCAAAGATCGGCCCGGCCGAACTTACTGCTTTTCTCTTGTTTTTTTTTTCTTTTGGTGCACCTATTCTTTCGAGAGATGTACATTTTTGTATATTTGTGCATTGTTTTGAATAATAAAGAAAACAATTTGGAATTGTTCCCAATTCAGTTGTAAGAAAAATTTATATTTTCGACGTAAAAAAACTTAACAATTTTCAGATAAAACAATATTATCCTTCCACCTTGTAATTAGATTGTTAAAATAACCCTACAGTTCGATTCTTGTTTTGCGTTTTTTCCAATGCGCAAATTTTTCCAATTTCTGAAAAATATTAAAAAAAAACAATACCAATTGTTGCACACTTGACACGTCTTTTTTACACAATAAGACTCTAGCATGGGAGAAAAATACAGGTAGACGCATCAACGCGTGGAAACATTGATATATCAAAGAATTTTATTTTTTTTTTTGAAATAAAAGTAGATTTTTATATGTTTTCTTATACGACGTCATTCGTAGGTTATTATAATTCGCATTTTTCAACAATTTTTACAAATTTAAATAATTTTACATTCAACATTTTTGACAGTTCATTGTCCTAGCAGCTGTGTCCATGGATCTTCAAAAATTTAAAAATGATACTTTGATAACCGATTATTCCTTTATGATATCGATAACAAATTGCAAGACTAGTAGATTCTTTCAGGTTTTGTAACAAAGCATATATTAATTGTAACTTGTAGTGCAAAGTTAAATTCGACCAATGCTAACTTGACTACACTACGGAATGCTTCCATACACATACCTTTTTGAAATGAGTCAGTTTTTTATTTTCATTTCAAAACACTTATACAACTTGCGGGAAAATAAAAAACACCAGCAAAGAAGAGATTCCATTTTCTCTTGTCAATAATTTCTATAGCATTTCGCACACATACGCTCACATTTTATCGCTAAAACCTTTGAGCATAAATCTCTCAGTGAAATTTGTACAAGTATAAAATAATAGTGAGGATTTTTTTAAATGGAATACTCTGACAGATTTTTAGATCAGTTTTCTTTCGAAATTTGAACGACAAGGTTTACGATACGAGCCGCGTTAAAGCGGGAAAATTAAAACAAATATTGAAAACGATTTAAATAATAATTATAAGTGTCAATATATACCTACATTATTTTGAATATTTTTCGAGAAATGGGTTAGTTTGTAAAGAATCTACAGCACTTTGAAAACCGACTAAATCGATAATCATGTATTACAGCAGCAAATACGCCTAGCACAAAACTTCACTTAGAATCTATAGACCGCATTGGCAGTATACCCCTTGTTGAGACCAGCCTAAAACATGCAGAACTTATATATGGAAAGGTGAAGACAAGCAATCGCCTATTCAACTGGTATTTTGAAACGGCCGAATATACAATTACATCGGCCTATGAATCAGTTATGCCAGCGGTAAAGTTATTCGAAAGTCCATTAAAGCGCTTAGACAATGTGGTTTGTAAAAGTTTGGATATTTTGGAACAACATATTCCGCTGGTATATCTTCCCCCGGAAATGGTGAGTACTTCTCTCAGGAAATCATTTCAGTTCATACACAACATTGATGGGCATACAAACAAATACATATTTATACCACATTTCATCGTACGAACACGATCATTAATAAGACAATTATTTTGGGCTTAAAGATGTATTGGAATACTAAAGAGTACATGTCGGATCATTTAGTGAGGCCAGTCCTAAAACGGGCCGATTCTGTTAAACAAATTGGCAATGCAGTCTTGGAAAGTCCAATAACGACATTTGCTGCAGAACGACTAGATGGTGCCTTGACGGTTGGTGACAAATTTGTTGATAAATATTTAATACCCATTGATGGTGAAGCAGATCAGACTGATGGTAAGCAGACCTTATTTTGTAAGTATTATAATTATGTGCGCATTTGTGCGTACAAATATTGGTTCGAAAATAGTGATAAAGTTTATTTTGGAACACATTCACAATGCATGTTATAGTGCCAAGAGAAAAATGGAGACATGGGGTGAGAGTCGAGAGAAAGCTCATTTAAATTTAAGGTTATCACTTTGTGGAAGATCACCACGAATGCCTTTTTAATCTAGGCGTTGTTTATACACGATGATGAACTTATTATTTGTTTTCTGTTCATAATTTACTTTGTCCAAAGATAAGCTAATTTTAAATGAAACACCAGCTTAATATGTCCGTAAATCAAGTTAAAATGTCATGTGTTAAGGATGTGAAATTTGTATGTGTGTGTTTTCTTACTAAATTCTAGAAATTAGAAAAACACATACATATGAAAATATATAGATATGGAAGTATGTTGTCAGAAACACAATTCAGAACAAAACATAACCACAAAATGATCATATATTTTTTAGGGTTTTTATTAAAGAAGACGTATATAATTAATGATAATTACATACAGGATGAGATAAAAAACTGCAACAAAGCCGGATTGGTATCCGGAGATTTTGGTGGCCATTGTGCGCTGGAAATGAAGCGAGGAACCTCATTTTGTAACCATTCTTGAGTGGCGCGTGCTGAGTGCGATGATGCTGAGTCCTGTTGGAATATCCAAGGCCAAAATGTTTGTGTGCCAAGGCTTTAGAGTCTGAAGTTGGTTGCAGTTTTTTCATCTCACCCTGTAGAGGTTTATTCAATCTGATATGAAATCTTCACAATCCCGTGCGGAATCTGCATACTAATGAAGAGCGTCACAGGGTTTTTACGTTTACATTATTTGTGTCCGGTTACTTTTCCTGCAGGAATTGTCCAGCAACTTCTTTCTGAGAGGTAAGGAAAGGTAAGCAAACCGAATCCCATAAAAATTTGCAAGCAATAAACTGATTTGTCAAAACAAAACAATTTGCCCCCACTAAAAAGAAATGAAGCTCGCAAAAATTAAAAATAAGACGGAAAACAAAACAATGAGGCTTATGATTTCCAAAATTAGGATATTTTAAAATCACAGGACGGAAAAGAGGAATAGTTGCAAGTAATTGTTAGAAGAAATTTGTCCAGCAAGAACTTGCAAACTGTCAGTAAAATAACTGTCAATTTGCAAAAATCAAAGTCGCAAATATTTCTGCGTAAAAAAACATTCCTCATTAAAACAACAACAAAAAGTTTTTAAAATTGTATTTGCTAATGATAATAAATTGAACCAGAAAAGAAAGTCTTAAAGTCGGGCGGGTACGACTTTATGATACCCTACACCACTTTGCTAATTTAGTAGAGCTCCGCATATCAATTAAAAGTTTTTATGGGAAAATTCAATCATACACGCTAAGATTATAATTATAATTTAAAGTTCAAAGGAGTAAATATGCCGAAGCATTTGTATCTCTTAAATTCGGACTTGTATTGCCCATTTGGTGCACAATTAATTTGAAATCGGATAAAGATATATATAGGAGCTATATCCAAATCGGAACCAATCTCGATAAAATTTAGCAAAGATATTTCTGAGCTGTATTTGATATATTTCCCTGAATATCGTTGTTACGGAGTGCAATCACTCTAGCTTCCGAACGAAATGAAGTAGATTGATAAAATGTTACTCAAATGTGTATTATGTCTGCAGGACTTTTGGTATTGAAAATGGACCATGTAGGTCCACGTCTTCGTATAGCCCCCATATAACGGTACCCCCCGATATTCGGTATTTTGATGATTTTAGCGACATTATTTAGCGGAATTGTTTCAATTTTGGTATTTGAAGTTCGTAAAGAATACTACATCCTAAGACAGAAAATGAGCCATGTAGGTTCACGTCTTCGTATAGTCCCCATATAACGGTACCCCCCGATATTAGGTATTGTGATGATTTTAGATACATTATTTCCCGGAATTGTTTCAAATTTAGTATTTGAAGTTTGTTTGATTGAATCTAAAATAGTAGGACAATATAATTTCAATCCAAAAAATGTACAATGTGTCGTTCATTATTCAAAACAATACACACATACACAACATGTGTGTATGTTCTGACAGACTAAGGGCAGAAGAAACTTGTATTTAGGGGGTAGCTTTGTTCTACGTTCTGTAATTTTGCCATGGGTAGTCGTATCGTCACAGGTAACGGGACAATGGCTTGTCAAACCAATTTTGGAATTAAAATTTTGAATCATGGTCGAACTAAGAAGGTAAAGCCATGTAATCATATGTTTAAATTTTTTTAAAATTTATACATTTGAAAATATCTCATTGTCAAAAAGTATATTCATAAATCCATTGTATACGCATCAAATCAGAGATGAGAACTGTTTTATTATTCATTGAAATTTGACAAGGTAAATTACAGAAAATGCAAAGATGGGAATGCTTTTTTGAAATGAGTTTACCGTTATTTCATTGTTCCATGATTTGAATGAAAAATTATTCAAATTTGTAAAAATTGTTGAAAACGCATTTTGTTATAAACTCCGATTGACGTCGTATAAGAAATCTCATAAAAATCTACTTACATTTGAAAAAAACATTTTAAAATTTTTGACATATCAATGTTCCCAAGCGTTGATGCATCTACCTGTATTCTTCTACCTACATGCAGGGATGCCAACTGTTCTGTTCTGCTTTATTAAAAACCACCATAAATCGCTACCGACCAAGGTAGATGTACTAGGTAATCGCATCAGCCCAGCTGACGGCACCATTAAATGTCAAAACAAATTGTTGTAATGAAGAATTCGCCCTAAATGAATGCAACAACAAATTTGTTTATGTTGTCTTCCCTAAAAGTACCTTTTTATAATATTTCAAATAATTTAAGAGCAAGTTTAGAGTGAAACCAGTAAAAAAATTAAAAGAAAATGAAGGAAGGAGGTTAGAATGGAGTGTAGCTTTAAGAATTAAGTTGGCCTCAACATCTAAGATTCCCAAAGCACATCATGGGAAGTAGTGCAAGAATTTGACTCTTGCCATTTACAGTTACGGAAAACTTTTGGTTTAAACCAGTAAAATATAGTCATTATAAGTTTCTTGGTTTAAAATATATCGCAATACTACAATTAATACTTATTTTACTCTTATTTGTTCTACAATAAAAACTTTTATTGCGACGTTCGTTTACGACGAGAGGCACACAAAATAAAATGTAAACAAACACCTCGTTTCTGATTGGTTGAAACAATTTTGCCGCAACCTTTTAATGTCATGGCGAATCTATGTTTTTCGCCTTAGATGCCAATTTTGACATTTGAGGGTACCACAAAAGTTGCTTTGTTGTAGCAATTCGCCGATGCGGTTACCTGTTAGATCTACCTTGCTACCGACTAAGACTAAATAACAGTATATCTAATGTCAGACTATGAAATTTTTAATTACTGTGAAAATTAGTTTATAGGTATGAAGGGGGTGAAACTATGTACACAACCTTCTGTAATCTGAAATTATTCTTTGTGCTTAAATTCGTAACTCTCAAATCAAGATGGCTGCACGTCATTTCTTTGATTCCTTTTTAATTTGTCAAAAATTTTCATATGAAAAAAAATTTGTTTGTAGACGTCATTGGAAAAAATGTTCAATGAACATTTTTATAGTCTGGCATAAGACTATGAAAACCCACCCACCCATCTCTACTGACTAAGACAACCAAAAACTATGAAAATTTGTAAAAACGGCAGAAATAATCATTCGTTAGGCAGAAAGAGGGAAAATTACACATGTATTCATACGTATTTTAGATTTCAATTAATTTATTAAAAAATATATATGTTTTTTCTTCTTAATCTGACTTGAACATATAACAAACAAAAAGTAGGAAAAACACTTAACATAAACAACAAGACCTAATCAAAAAGAAGAACAGGTCTCACCCACATATATACAAACGTTTGTCAGTTTATTTCCAAACTCATCAACATCTGCAAAGAAAGTTTCCTTACAAGGCTTATAAAAGGTCGGCTAGTAAACCAATCTCTGAGTTTGCAGTTTGAAATTTAAACAAAGTCAAATCACAAAAGTGAGCATCTAATAAGTTTATTGTCAAATTGTTGTTACAAGCAAGTCTTATTATATTACAAGTCTTATTGATAAATCTTATATAGACCTTGTCCGTTATTATTTTTTGTTTGCTTTAAAAGTGATGACAATAAAAAATTTTGCGTAAAAATCGCTATAACCACTACCTTAAACAGCAAAAGTCGCTACTGTAGCGATTTAAAAAAGAAAAGCTCTACAACCCAGTGGTTTTTATGCGTCAAAAATCACCACAAGTAACGGGAAAATCGCCAAATTGACATCTTTTCCTATATGCATGTTCTATCGTATGTTTACAAGTTTTCCAAAACTACGCTTTTGAAAACATCTCATTGTAACAATTTATGTTTATAAATCATAAATCCATTTTTTTGTGCATAAATCAGATTTGAAGTCATATTTGACGAAGGAAATTAAAGAAAATGTAGACCTGGGCCTCAATTCTCTCTCTATGATAATGTAAAATGAAAACTTTTATAAAGGAAACAAATGACAAATGAAGAATTTTATTAAGAAAATATTTTCCATTTCAAATTGTTATAGAACTAGAATCCATACTCGGGGGCTCAGTTCTTCATCTATGAAAATATGAAATGTTTTATAAAGGAAAGAAATGTCAACTGCAAAAATTTGTAAAGGAAATATATTTCATTTCGAATTTTCATAGAAAAAAAGATACAGCTCCTGGATATCCTCATTTGAAATTAAGCTACCTTGAAATATGAAGTTGTACTATGTGTACTAAACAGTTTTTACTTAAGGTGAGAATACATAAAACGCTTTTTTGACTGGATTATGTTATAGCTTGGCTTCTTCGAGGAGCAACAAAGGAGTTTTGGGTTGACTTAGCTCGGTTTTGGCCGTAGGCTCCTTTGTCCTTTTAAGAAGAAGCCAGTTCATGGTTTAAGCCAGCAAAAAAAATCTCTTTATGTGCGTCCACCTTTTGTCCTATTTCGGCTTATAGTTTATACCTCTTACCCCTCTACGCTCCTTTGTTATTTTACGAAGATGACTTAAGCGCATTTATACTATGGAATAATATTAATATTGAGTCAATAAGCAATAAATCCCTATAATGTGGGTTAATCAGGATAAAATGTTATATCTAAGCGCATAATTAAACCTGATAAAAAGCTATTTATGATGCTGCACCTTTAACTCGGGACACTAACAGGTTGAAGAAACTTCGACCGGAAATTATTAAAAATAAAATAAAATTTCTTCAAACTATTAACCACTTCCACTTTGAATGTATTATTATCAGTAGTATTTCTTTTGTGTTTTTATTTTTGCAACATTATTATTTGTCTTTTCATGTTTCCTGATAATGATTATATGTCACTTCTGTATACATATAATTGCAGCACCAAACGAAGATAACAATGCAGAGACACCAAATGAGAAAGGCGCCATCAAGGCAATTCATCACGGCCAACGTTTCTCGCGCAAACTAAAGCGTCGCTTGACCCAAAGAACATTGGCCGAAGCGAGGGCCTTGAAAAAACAAAGCAAGGAAGCTATACATGTTTTAATATATGCCGCTGAACTGGTAATCTAGACTCATTCAAGAACTCCTTCAATAAGATATAACGTTTTCATATTTACAGATTGCTACAGATCCCAAGTTGGCTTTGCAAAAAGCTAAAGAACTTTGGTCTTATCTGAGCCAAGATGAACCTGAAAACCAGGCTAGACCAACAACATTAGAACAGCTGATTGTTTTGCTCACCAGGGAATCAGCTAGGCGTCTTGTTCATATGGTGAATTTTGGTGCCAATGTAGCAGCTAACATACCAAAGTAATAATTTCTTCTAAAACAATTAAACAGTATGAAAACTTTAGTTTTTCTCATCAGGCGATATTATGGTCGGCTGATTCTATAACAGATTCTAGATTTAAAATAAATCCAGTTGGCAGAAGACTGTTCATTGTTCGGAATCAAGATAAACCATTTTACATAAATGCTCTACTTCCCTGCACGTCCAAAGTAATGTGGGCGTCTCGAAAATTGCCAACATTATCTTTTATTTTAAAGCAACATTTAATTGTTTTCTTTTACTTTTTTTCGCAATGTCAAAAACTGTTAACATTGACTGATTTTGAAAAAAATCCTAGACAGTTAGGAAAATATTCGTACGTGTAGTAAAATGTAAAGGTGATAATATATAAAATGTTTTTTTTTTTCATTGGCTTAAGTCGTGGGCTGGCTTCTTCGTACAGGAACAAGGGAGTTTTAGGTTGATTTCGATATTGGCTCTATTCTCCTTTGTTCTTTTCCGAAGAAACCAGCCGATGACTTAAGCAGCCAAAAAAGCGTTTTATGTATTCTCACCCTCTGATTTGTCAATTTGTCTTGTGTAAACGTCACGTGAATAGCATTTATAGCATGGTAGAAGAATACAGGTAGTCTCATCGACGCAGCTGCTGGGACAATGAACTGTCAAACAGATTTTAGGATTGAAAATGTTGTATGAAAATTTAATAAAATTTGTAAAAAAAGGTCGAAAAATGCGTATTATAACCACCTCAGATTTGTGTCTTATTAGAAAACATTTAAAAATCTATTTATTTTTGATAAAACATTTACCTATATTCTTCTACCAATATTTATAGAAACTTCGCGTTTCGGTTTACACTAGGGATTCGTAAAAAACAATTGAGATGGAGAATACATTCTGATTTAGTACAAATGTATAGTACCAAAACTTAAAAACTTGGACTTGTTTCCAATTTTGTTTTCAACATTATTGTAACTAATTTTATCATAACTTTTTTCTTTGCTCTCTAGAACTGTTGCGCATACTTCAACGGAGGTTGTTCATCATATAATTTATATCAATAATCGTTTTATTAGCCTTACAAAATTGGATAAAGTTCGAGATTTATCTAAAGAAGAAGCTCAAACCATTATTAAGCGTATGGTAGCCTTTTACGGCGATCTACAATGTCTAACCAATACTTATTTGGTAAGTTAAAATTTGTTTATAACCTTTAACCAAGTTCACGTCTCTGTATGGCCCCCATATAACGTTACCAACCAATATTTAGTATTTTGACGATATTAGGACATAATTCACCGGAATTGTTTAAAATTTCATAATTTAAGATCCTAATGGGTACTACAGCCTATGACAAAAAATTAAATATGCCGCCAAACGTTTTCGTATAGCCCCAGTATAGCATACTAAATCATCATTTAAACGGTATTTTCCCAATTTTTTGAAATTATTCAAGTTTCTTATAATGGCGGAGGGTAGTTTTTTTTTACTTGTTATTTTTCATAAAATTTTTTTAGTTTGCTGTTTAAGTGTCTTAAATAATTTTTCGATTTCGTTCGTTTAGAAAATTGTTTTAGGGTGAATTCAGTAGATATTTGAACATTAGATATTTTAAACAACGAATAGAGAGCGAATCTCGTTACAAGCGAACTTTGTATAAGATACGCCATTTGTCATGGTAGAAGAATACAGGTAGTCGCATCGACACAGCTGCTGGTACAATTAACTGTCAAACCGATTTTAGAATTGAAAATGTTGAAAGAAAAATTATTAAAATTTGTAAAAATTGTTGAAAAATTCATATTATAACAGCCTTTGATTTGCGTCGTATAAAAAAATTAAAAATCCACTTATTTTTCATAAAACATTTTAAAAACTGTGACATATCAATGTTCCCAAGCGTTGATGCATCTACCTATATTCTTCTATCATGCCATTTGTTGGATGTATATTAAAAAGTTGGTAATATTAATTGGGCGTTCTATCAAGACATGTTGTAAGTATGTGTCTAAATTAATATTTTAGAATATGGTCAAGATTGCGCATTACATAATATTTGCAATATGAACATTTCTTTCTTTTTAGGAACGCCTTGCGACCTTCTTATCAGGTCGCATAGAAGCCGAGAAAGTTTCAGGACATCGGTCAACCGTTGGTTCAACATCTTCTGGCACATCCGCCAGACGACGACTGGACGTTCAAGAGAATAATACACCATCGTCACATAATAATATAAATGGCGTTTACTGAGACGCAGAGTTTTTTATTGCAGTCGTATTTTTATGTCTAATTATCGAATTTTATTTTTGCATTCATATTCGTTCTAATTAATATATTTATATAAATAAAACTCTTTTTACATACACAAACCTTCTTTTAATTCTACACAATATACAACTTATAAGATGTACCTGATTTTGTACTTTTTTCAAAAATAATAAGTCAGAACTTAATATGATTCGTCCATGGTACATGCATGGCAGAATTAACAAGGTTACTTCTTTTGCCAAATCGGTAATGGAAACCATTAGGTAGAAGAGCTTTGTAAAACTACAGAAATGCAGCCCTGAGGCTGTGCCCACTCCCTGTCAGAATTATTCAAAATTAGATGCAAGAACCAGTTCTTTTCATTTATTTGATTTTTTTTGAAATTTTTAAAATGAGTTCAATATCACGAAAAGTTTTTTTTTCAAACTATGATCTAAATTGTTCAATCTTTCAATTCAATTGCAAAGCTGATTAATATATTTAATGTGCGCCCTGCAATGTACGTTTCCTCCAATCATTGTCGCAGAAGTCGGACACACTCAGAAAAAAATGTTATCAGCTAATGGATCAACCCTACGTTTTTATTGTAACATGATGACATTTATATTGGAACTCACAACTTTACCTAAAACTCGACGTACTCGGTCAACGTTTTACACCACATAAGTTAAACTCATGTATTCATATGAATATTACCGAAATACGTTGAGCGTAAGAATTTCAATATTGACAATTAAACATGGCAGAGTTACCTTAAATTCGACGTAACGTATTTAAATTCCCCACTATTGTAAAAATTTTGTACGACCGTATTGCCCAAATTCTCCCAATTGCTATTTTTTTGATTACAGACATTCAAAAAACGGAATTGCTCGATTGTCAATGTTGAAATTTTTTAACTTCGAAATTTCGTACGACCGACGTATTTGCGTAGAAGAATACATTGTATGAGAAGAAATAAAACAAACAAATTTGAAGAAGTAAAAAAGTTGTAATTTTGGCCTTGCCGAACTTTAAATACCCTTCTCCATTTTTAACGAATTTGGCAATTATCAAAAAATAAAATCCGTTCAAATTCTGTTAAAATCTTAAAAATACCAAATGGGTCTATTCGACGATGTTGATCGGCATAGGCAACTTTTGTCATAAGCCATTACAATATTCAAGTGCGAAACTTGAAAAAAGCAGTAAATAATGTAGCTAAAATCATCAATACAGGGAGGAACTATTATGTGGGGGCTATACCAAAATGTGGACCTGCCTTAGGCTGCAGTATTCACTACGAACTTCAAATATCAAATTTGAAACAATTCCGATGAATAATGTCGGTAAGATCATCAAAACGTCAAATATAGGGAGGTGCCGTTATATGGGGGCTATAAGAAGACGTGGACCTGCACAGACAATTTTCCGTAATAGTAGTAGTATTCATAACGAACTTCAAATACCAAAGTTGTAACAATTCTGGTGAATAATGTCGCTAAAATCATCATCAAAACACCGGGAGGTTCCGTTATAGGGGGGCTATACGAAGACGTGGACCCATGGTAAAATAATGAGGTAGAACAGCTTCGTAAAACTACAAAAATACATCCCTGAGGCTATGCCCTCCTTCTCTCAGACTCATTCAAAATTATATGCAACAAGTCATTTCATTTCATCTTTTTCCTCATTTTTAAAATGACTTAAATAGCGCAAAAATGAATGAAATGCCTGGATATTCTCTCAAAAATATGATCCAAACTGTTCAATATTTCAATTCCATGGCTAAACTGCCGCTAGCCGCAATGGTTTTGAAAATCAATGGTTTTGAAAATATTTTGTTTTCGTTTTTCAAAACAACAAATACATACAGAAAATTGGCAGAAGTCAGGCACACTTAGAAAAATTCAATCAGCTGTTAGCTCTACCTTATCGTTTTATTGTACCTTGTTTTTTTCTACAATGGGTAAATAAGTACGTCAACGTCGCACTCAGTCGACTTTTTCATCACAAAATTTAAACACATGCTTTTATATGAGAGTTGCCAAAATATGTCGGGCGTAGACAATTTCAAAATTGAACATTTTCAACATTGACAATTGAACAATTTCTTTTTTGTTGAAAATGTAAATGAATAATACGACAATGTGAATGTTTGTAATTTGAAAATATTACCATGGTGGGAATTTAATAAAATATCAATTTTTACAACGTTATAAATAACCAAATAGGTAGATTTTAGGATATGGATCCGAGACAGGGATGCCAACTGTTCCGACGTAAAAATTGCTACAGATAAGCTTTTATTGAAAACCACCATAAATCGCTGCTGACTAAGACTAAATAACACTATGAAAAACCACCACAAATCTCTACTGACTAAGACAAACAAACGCAATGCAAATTTGTAAAAACGTTACGCAGAAAGAGGGAAAATTATGCATGTATTCATACGTATTTTAGATTTCAATTAATTTATTAAAAAGTACATAGGTTTTTTTCTTTTTAATCTGGCTTGAACATATAAAAAACAAAAAGTATGAAAACACTTCACATAAACAACAAGACTTAATCAAAAGGAAGAACAGATCTCACACACACATATACAAACGTTTCTCAGTTTATTTCCAAACTCATCAACATCTACATAGAAAGGTTCCTTACAAGGCTTATAAAAGGTCGGCTGGTAAACCAATCTCTGAGTTTGCAGTTTGAAATTTAAACAAAGTCAAATCATAATAGTGAACAACTAATAGATTTATTGTCAAATTGTTGTTACAAGTAGTCTTCTTGTTAAATATTATATAGACCTTTGTCCGTTATTATGTTTTGTTTGCTTTAAAAGTGATGACAATAAACAATTTTGCGTAAAAATCGCTACAACCACTACCTTAAACAGCCAAAGTCGCTATTGTAGCGATTTAAAAAAGAAAATCTCTACAACCCTTAAACAGTGTTTTTTATGCATCAAAAATCACCACAAGTAACGAGAAAACCACCAAATTGGCATCTCTGATCTGACATATTTGGGTAATACAAACGTATAACACATTTTACCATAGTGGAGAAGTTGAATATTTGTGTACGCTACGTCGAATTTTAGGTAACGCTGTTAGGCAGGTATACATGTTGAACTTTTCAACGCCGTCAAAAGTCGACTTTTGTATCTCTAATTGGTAATTTTTGTCAGTCTTCAGAAATCAGTGAACGTGAGTGGACGCGAGGTGAAGTGGATTATTCTAAATTGACTCAGTCTCGCAGTTTAAAAAAAAAAATTAAAAATTTTATGCCACTCGATCATTACTATTAAAATGGAAATAAAAACGCAAATGTTGTTACAAAATAAAAGGCATATTCCTTGGCCATGGTTTTATTTGATGAAATCTATGAATCCAATAATTTGTGTTGGACCTGTTTATAAATTTTCTGTATCCGTTGGCTGGCTTCAGCACACATATACACACATTCTTCAAGATGGCTGATGATGGAGAAAATTTGATGTTGGAATGTAATTTTATTTGGAAAAAGGTTAATAATGTAGTATTAAACATTACATGAAGTGATATTTATTTGGGGTATTGTTTTTTATATTCACAGGTGAGACACTACCCTTTTTCTTAAAGACACGGGAATATGAGTGAAACTTTTTGAATGTCCCATTTGATTATCTTAAAGAAGGAGAACCGTTTATAGAAACGTCATTAAAGACAATGATTATTATAAAAAAGATACAATTTTTATCTTTAAACCTATTATCCTCATGGAAGAAATCGATTTACAAGTAAAAAAACAATGACCTCTTTATGTGTCAGACCAGTTTTTGAAATTTTCTGTATCCAGTCGCACACACACAGGCACACCTATGCTCACATTCTTTTACTGCAAGATATATGGCTGTCTCTCGTATTGTAGAAATACATTCATATTGGAGTTCGGTTTACAAATAAAAAGGTGGATATTTTTATTTTGTTGTTAGATTGCAATATTTTTATTTATTTGCTTTTTTCATATTTTATAGATGATTCTATAATGCAAGACTACAAGGCTAGGATTAACAAAATTACAACAAACAGGGGTAAGTGGCAAAGCAATCCATTATTACGTGTTTTTTTTGTTATACTTACATTTTTTTACTTACACGTTTTTATTATTTATTAATTTCATTATTAAAGAGCAATAAGTAATATATTTTCACATGAACAAAGTTTTTTCTTCGTGTAACTTATTGTTCTTTGTTTACAAATCCATAAAAGTAAAATACCATCTACAAGTAAATATATTTCTGAAACGCGCATGTGTGTATACCAAATACACACAAACACAAGATATATTTATTTATGCGTTATCTCATTCACTCACATACCAACAAAATGTAAAGTAGCTATATTATATAGGAATTCTGCGTTCTATTTAACTTCTACTTGGCAAGCAAACCGATCGATGAATCCTGCTTACCATTAAAACAAATTTCACATACTATACAAAGAACATGTCCAAATGAACCATAGTCGGGCAACAGCATGTTTTCACAATTGGGTTACACCTCACATACAGTTTATATTAAGATATATTGTACAGTTTGAACAAAACCGGTTTATTTATTCCTTTATAAACAAACATAAAATTATGTAAACAAATATGCGATGGATGGAACATTCGAACAACTGTTTCCACAGTGATTTCCTGTTGGCGTTTACGTGATGTTATTCATGAATTTTAAGGGCAATAGAAAAAATTAACAGGGAATAAATTCTTTAATTGTTTGGTGTAATTTCATTTTCATTCGAATTTGCTTACAGTATATTTTGTTTTTGCTTTTTTTCAGGCTATAACACAATAGAATGCATAATTCGATTATGGACAATGGGGACACAATATAAAATCGGCACAGCAAGGACTCGGTATATATGATTATGAATATGACAACAAAATACAAACATTCCAAAGATTACTAACGCTCGACTTGCTAGTCTTCACTATTCTAAATGTCGCATCATAAGTATAAAAATTGAGAGATCAATGTGTCATTTGTATAACTTTTACTTAGTATTCATTACGTATACATTCTATATATACCGTTTTATATATACCAATATCAAAGCATGGCCTTGGTCGTGTTAGTAAATTCTCTTTTCAGGTACATTCCAAAAACCAATCCAACAACCATCAAACCAACTACAAACATCGTCAACAACTAATTAATTTTTGTCCTTATATAATTAGTATTGTAATATATTTACTTTTGCTGCACACCACCGCCACAACAATTCAATCTTTTACATAAACCTTTTCAAAATTTTAGCTCCTAAATATCAAACTGCATACGCCTGTGAAGGTAAGAAATTAACTATAGAGTGTGATCCAGGCGATGTCATAAATCTTATACGAGCTAATTATGGACGCTTTTCAATAACAATTTGCAATGATCATGGAAATATGGAATGGAGTGTCAACTGTATGTTTCCTAAAAGTCTTACAGTTCTGAATTCAAGGTAAGCTAACGGATCTAACAGACTTTCTTTGTGTCGAACGCAAAAGGAATATGTTGTTATTACATGGCAAAATGTTCGATATTGTTTTAGATGCGCACACAAGCAAAGTTGTGGAGTTTTGGCCACAACTAGCATGTTTGGAGATCCCTGTCCCGGTACGCACAAATATTTGGAAGCCCATTATCAATGCATTTCAGCATCTCAAACATCGACCACAACTAATCGTCCCAGTCCACCGCCGTGGGTTCTTTCGAATGCACCACCTATTCTGCCGAATGGTAGTTCATCTATTATTAATCCTGGACTAGTACAACCTCCTTTACCACCAGCACAACTACCGCCTAGAATGCCTCCAATGCCAGGATTGCCGGTATCTGCTGTACCCTCATCTCCGGGCCCTCCTACAATACATACCACACTACCGGGTGGTAGACTTAAGGCAAATAGCTCAATAAAACCGCCAACAAGGCATGACGGACTACCTCCACCGCCTCCGTTACATCACCACCATCACACGAATGGTAACCATCATACTGCTGCGAAAACTGATCAACAGAAAGACATTCTTCCCAGAGATCACCCTCACAAAGCGCCGACACAAGAGACTAAAACAGTAAAAAGTCAAAGCGGTGGAGTCAGCAATACAACAACACCGCCCAACACGAGAATTTTAACTGGTGTTGGAGGTACAGGGAGCGACGATGGAACTCTGCTTACCACAAAAACTACCACCAGACAGCAACAGCTACCAAATCCATTGCCCTCTGGGACAACAACTGTTTCTTCCTTGGGCAATATCAATTCCACCTTGGGTTCTGGCATTATCAAATCGATAAATAACATAAACTTAAATACTGGATTGGTTGGCGAAGACGAAACCAATATGTTTTGTGGCCCTACGCATGCTAGAAATTTATTTTGGAACATAACACGTGTTGGTGATGTTAATGTACAACCCTGTCCGGGTGGGGCAACAGGTATTGCGAAATGGCGATGCGTGTTAATGAAACGAATGTCGCTAGACGAAGATGAAGACATACCATCTTCAACACCAAACGCATTGTGCAATGGAACTACGTGTACAAGTTTTCGTTTGCGGAATTTTGAACCTACATGGCACCCTTTAACGCCCGATTTGACGCAATGTCGAAGTCTTTGGCTTAGCAATTTAGAAGTTCGTGTTAGCCAACGCGATTCATCTTTGATTTCAATTGCAAATGATCTGTCTGAAGTGACTAGCAGCAAAACCCTTTACGGCGGGGATATGCTCGTGACCACCAAAATAATTCAGACAATGTCGGAAAAAATGTTCCATGACAAAGAAACGTTTCCCGATCAACGTTTGCGAGAAGCAATGATACTAGAATTGTTACAAGGCGTTGTAAAGACTGGATCCAATCTTCTAGATGAATCGCAGTTATCCTCTTGGCTGGATCTAAATCAGGAAGACCAAATGAGGGTTGCGACTTCATTGCTAACTGGTTTGGAAGAGAACGCATTCCTATTGGCTGACACTATCATACGCGAACGGAATGTTGTGCAAAAGGTTAAAAATATATGTAAGTATATATTATGGTAATGACATGAGAATTAGAAAAAATACTTTTTTGATTTTTTCTTCTAGTGCTCTCCGTAAGGGTTTTAGAAACAAAAAACATGCAATCCAATGAAGTATTCCCCGATAATGGACAATGGCAAATAAGTGACGATAGAATTGAATTGCCCAAAGCTGCACTTATAGAAAATAGCGATGGAGGTCTTGTTCGTATAGTTTTTGCGGCCTTTGACCGTTTGGAATCGATATTGAAACCTTCATATGACCACTTTGATATAAAGTCAGCGAGAAGCTACAGTAAGTAAACCAAGTTAAATATTCATGATGAGTTTATAGATAACTTCGTTCCTTTCAAATAGTTCGGAGCACAGCAATTTTAACAAACGATACCGCCGACTCCTCCAATTCTTCACCATCACCGCAACGCATACGAATTTTGAATAGCAAAGTTATTTCAGCTAGTTTAGGCAAAGGACGACACATCCAACTATCGCAGCCCATCAAATTAACACTGAGGCATTTAAAAACGGAAAACGTCACCAATCCAACATGTGTGTTTTGGAATTACATAGATCAGTAAGTTAGAAAAACAAATTGCTTAGTGAATATTTTACAATAAGTTCTTAACCATTTTTTTATAGCGCTTGGTCAGCCAATGGTTGTGTTCTGGAATCAACCAATCGTACACACAGCATCTGTATGTGCAATCACCTTACGAACTTTGCCATTCTAATGGATGTAATGGATTCCCATACCCATTCACTTTTTACGATGTTCGATGGCAATATGCGTATCTTGATTTACGTTAGCATATCGATCTGTTTGATATTTATTGTGGTAGCCTTACTAACACTTAAAATATTTAATGGAGTCTTTATAAAGGTAAGATCGTCAACGTCTTCATCATGCCAAGGTGGACAGCAGCAGCTAAGTCATTCGCGCCGTGGTGGCGGCAGCAGCAGAAGTAGGCAAAATAACATTATTGATCAGACGCATGAGTCAATACAGATCACAAATCCAACGCAAGTTGCAACAACCTCAAATAATATTCAAAACCTGCAACAGCAGTTAAATTTACAACATATGCAAAATATTTCACCCTCTAATGTTACTGCCAATAATTTCATACATCATAATTCCATACGCAATTCAAATAGAAATAATTTGAATGCGAACAATTTCAATTTGCAACAACAGCAGCAGCAGCAGGTAGTGGCAGCTGCAGCTGCCGTTGTAGTTTCCAATAACAACCAGCGTAATTTGCAAATGAACAATTTGAATTTAAACTTAAATCTTCAGGCTCATCCCCATCACAATCATGGCCACAATTTAAATCACAATCATGTGACTACAGCGGCTCAGCAGCATATGGAGACTTCAATGTCTAATACTGCTGTAGCAGCGGCAGCAATTGCCGCCGCTTTGCAGCAACACCATGTTAATACGAATGCTGCCGTCGCAGCCGCTGCTGCTACAACCACTCCGAGTAGTAATAATTTAAATGTTAATCGTAATAATCATAACAATGCAAACAATAGCAATCGTATTAATAATCCCGATCCAAATAATATAATAATGCAAGGAAATATGGACGATTTACAATATAAGTGGTGGTGGTGGTGAAAATACAAAATGTATTTCCATACTTATAGATATATGTATGTTTAGTAGTATTTTTTAATTATGAATTCTATTTATTATTTTGTGATATACCTTTAAGTAGATTTTTTATTAAAAAAAAAAAAATTGATCAATTTTTCTAGGTTTTCATTGTAAAACATATTTATTGTAACAAGATTTAGTCTAATTGGGTGTGCAAGACATCTTCATATGATATTGTTTGTTTTTCAGCAACAATTATAAAATTGTTTCAATCTCTTAAATATATATTTTTTTTGATCGTGATTTCGTTTAAAAAGATTTTCATTTAGTAATTGTCATCGTCAAAATAGAACAATAATTTAATTGTTTTATTTTTCTGAAATCTTTCTTTTATTTTATATAAGTTACAATGTAATTTATCTGTTTGTAATGTTTTATTTGCTAATTTTTTTCTCGTTTATTTCAATATAAATAAATATAATTTATGTTCTATAATGTTTTAAATTTACGTATGTGTGTTTACTTTGTAAAGTCTTGTTTTTCTGTTGTTCAAACCACCACCACCACTACTACCAAGTATAGAACTATCTCTAATACGAACTATACTAGTCATATTCTTTGCTATTTCCTTGTATTATTTCTCAAAGTTCCATTCAAAATTATTTTTTGTTTTACAAATCTCATATGATGTTGGCATATTTCTACATTTCCATCCCCTTATTTCTCTTATTATGTCTTTGCAGTCTGCACGTACTTCTATTTATCGCAGTATTTACATATGCTTGCTTTTAGTCGAAATTCTCTTTCTAATTGGTATTGAACAAACGGAAACGAGTAAATTTTGTGGATTTATAACAGTATTTTTACACTGTGCTATTTTGTCGGCCATTGCATGGTTTTGTTTTGAAGGTAAGTACGAGCAATATTTTAAGTATATGTATTTATGAGCCAATTTCAATGCAAAATCGACAGATTTTATGGGTGTCACTAAATTAAAGAAACATTAACTATGTATATTAAGCGTTGCGTACAATAATTGACATCTTTTTACAATGACTACGCATTTTGTATGGCCGAATTACCTAAATCCGCTTGGACCATATCTCCATTCAAATCAATCATAATTGAAACAATCTTGGGATAAATAATAAATTGTGTTGACCGAAAATCAGAAATTATGATTTTATATTTTCTCAGAACGAATTTTTTTAAATTTTAGTTCCATAAAAATATAAACCGTATTTTCTTGGCAAAATAGTTTAGCAGTATTCCTACGTTTCGCTAGTATTGACATTATAAAGTTAGTTAAACATAACACATTATATATTTTGGTATAAATCGATATTTGCTATATCTCAAATCGGAGTAAATCTTTTTACGAAAATTGTGATTGGATTTTGAAATATAATAAAAAAAACGTACCACAATAATATATCCATTTTCGGTTTGTCAAGATGGTTTTTATTTAAAAATAAAAGTAATTCTGGGAATAAATACAAAGTTTAAAATGTAATATGCTCTACGCTCCTTAGATGCGTCCGCTCTCGGTCAATGCTCAACGACGACTGACTCATAAACTCATTTTGATAGTTGACAATTCGGCCTCTCCTGACTCTTCGTCCCTCCTGGGCGAACCATCATCAGACTCATCTTTATCTTCGATTTCGAGACTTGGATCACCATAGCACCAGGGCTTCATATGATCGGTCGACATAACACCGCAATATTTCCTTTGCTTCAAACTTAAATCCGGCAGATCCTCTACCAGATAACGATCGTTTCCGATAATTTTCGTGACGATGTATGGTCCTTTATACCGCGCATCCAACTTATGCGATTCTCCTGTAGGCTGCGGTACCGTGTCTATCACCACCAAATCGCCTTCCTTGTACTGAGTTGGCTTGGAATGACGGCTGTCAAATCTTGCTTTCCATTTTTCCTTTTGTTTCTGGATGTTAGCAACAGCCTGCTGTTGAATTACCCTAACATCGAAATTCTCTCTTTCTTCATCACCAACCGCCTGGATAATTCTATTGTAACTGACATCTCTGAGACTAAAGTTGAATATTAAGTCATTTGGACTGAACTTTGTAGTCGCATTCAGCTGCGAGTTAATACTCCACTGTATCGTCGTTGTCTCAGTGTCCCATTCTTTTGTATCACCTACTAGACATTTCAACGCATTCAAAACTGTCTGGTTGATCCGCTCGGCTTGGCCATTGGCTCTTGGTGTTCGGACTGCTGTTTGTACATGTTGTATTCCACAAACTGTTGGAATTCTTTAGACGTGAACGCCGTTCCCTTATCCAATACAATTCTTCGTGGCTGTCCGAAAATCGACATAACTTCTCGCAGCGCTGTTATAAACGCCGTGAATTTCTTGGATTCTTCCTTGACGTGTATCTGGTAATATCCTGATGTCATGTCTAACGTTGTAAAATACTTATTTCCAGATAACAACGAAAGTTGTTCTTCAACCACTGGCATCGAGTACTGCTTTTTGATGGTGACTTCATTTAATGCTCGATAATCCGTACACATACAACTTTCACCGTTCGCCTTTTTGACCAACAATACTGATGCTGCATAGGGCGAATCACTTGGGCGAATAATACAACATCGAAGCAACTTGTCAATTATGTCTGACAGAATTTGTCTTTGAGAAAATGGAACTTGGTATCTTTTACCAACTACAGGCTTGTCCGTAGATAAACTTATTTCCATTTGTGTATTTTTACACCTTCCAAGGTCTTCAAGGGTTTCAGCAAAACAGTCCTTGAATGACGACAGTATTTGGTCTAATTTTTCCTTTTGATGCTCATCCAGACTTTCTCCGACATTAAATGTACTTGGCATTGTTGACCTCACCTTCAAGACACCATGCTCAATTGTAAGTTTTGTTTGCTTCTTACACAATACATCTCTTCCTAAGAGAACGTCATATCGCATCAAGTCATTCGGCACTACATAAATGGTAGTCATTAAACTCTCCTCGTCGATGACAACGTTAGTCTCAAACATTTCCACCACTTCAACAATAGATCCACCAAAACCTTTCATTCTTTTTGACGTTACTTCCATATCGCAACCCTCTGGAACTACAGCTTTCCGCATTAAGGTAAAGTCGCTTCCAGTGTCCACAAAACCTTCATATGTCTTACCATTGACCGTAACATCTTTCATAACCGGTGGGCAGTAATCCTTAGACTCTTCTGTCATTGCTGCCACAGTTGTACCTTTACCTTTGCATTGCGATGCATCGTGACCAATCTTTGCACATTTACTACACTTCGGCTTCTTCAATGGTTGTGGGCAACTAGTTGAGATGTGCCCAAACCTGTTACAATTGAAACATTTTACTCCCTTGGTTGGCGCTCCACCTGAGACACTTGCGGTTTTGTCATCCTCGTCATTCTTTGTTTGCTTCCTTGCATACGTTTGTATGGTCAAATTCTCCAACGACCTTAATAATTCACTACATGTCTGCGGGTTCATAGCTAAAAGTGTTCTTGTTAAGCTGCTATCATTGAGACCATTTATGATGTATGACAGTATTGATGCCTCATCTACGCTTCCTCTTTTCCCTATGGCCAACATTGCGTAATAATATTCCACCAAAGACTCATTCGAGTTTCGTTTCCTAGCTATAAGTTCACGATGAATGTCAGCAACACTTACTCGACTTGGGAAATCCTTTAAAAATTGTTGTCTGAACTCTTTCCATGTTTCAACCACTGGTAAAGCGTCTATCCACATTTTAGCAACACCACTCATTTTATGATGAACTGCAAACAAAGTTGTTTCATCTGACCATCCATGAAGCCTTTGCAACGTTTCAACCTTGTCAATGAATTGGACTGATGTAACATTTCCTTTAATTGGATCGAAGTCTGGTATCATTACTATGTAATCCTTTAAACAACCAGATGTTCCGGAACCAGATTGTCTTGATATTACTTCAGCTGGAACTTGCTGTTCTGTATCCCTTGAATTTAACCCTGCATTTGACGTAATAGCCCTTTCTGTTGAAAGTGTTGTTAACTGTTGCACACTTCTTGCTAGAGTCAACATTATATCCTTTAGCTCTCGCATTTGACTTGTTAGAGAATCATCACCCGTCTCAGCTTCATCAAATCCATGGAAATCCTCCTGTGACTCTGAATCTTCAACTTCCACTTCGTCATTTCCATTGCAAGCCATGAGTCTAGCAATTTTCTCGGACTTATTTCCTGTTCGTGGTAAGCTTCTTGCCAGTAATAATTTGTCTAGCTCCGCAACCTTTAACGAACTTATTTTCACCTTCATACTTTTCCTTGTGAATTTTCCTTTTTAATTCGTTACTTCAGCAAATCTAGAACTATTCCTTTTTTTTTAGAAGCCGCACGCCCTAAAAATATACGTTAACTTTTCCCTTTTTAAACTTCTTCTTCGGGGTTCCCCTCTTTATGTCTTGCTTTCAATCTCCTTGATGTACTATCGTTGTCCTACTCACTCACACTTTTGAGTATACCTTTGTACATTCTCCTTTGATTGATGCTTTCTTCTTTGCTCTCTTTGAGCACGTTACACACTCTCACTAAACTCACTCGAACTTTTGAGTTTAGGTGCCTTTGCGTGGTTTCTCCTTTGGTCGTCGTTGTTGCTTTGCATTGAGCTCTTCACTACTACATCACTTTGACGCCTTAGTTTCTCAGCTCTTTGAGTATTTTTCTGCAATTCTTATCCAAAATGATGAAATTCCTTGTAGATTTCTGTTCTTATCCCACTTCTGATTCTGTCAAGATGGTTTTTATTTAAAAATAAAAGTAATTCTGGGAATAAATACAAAGTTTAAAATGTAATATGCTCTACGCTCCTTAGATGCGTCCGCTCTCGGTCAATGCTCAACGACGACTGACTCATAAACTCATTTTGATAGTTGACAGGTTCCACAATTCGAATTGTAAACTTTGATATGAGACTTACTTCAAACCTGTTGAATCAGTTTTCTAGATATATGGAAGGGCTGTTCCAGAACCTGCAATAATCTCCTAGTTTTACAATATTTTTCGATATCATAAAAGGAAAATCGGTTATCATAGTAAGAACTTTTTCATTCTTGCAGTTCTGGAACAGAACCATGGTTGTTTAAAAAAGGAATAGGATTTCCTAGAAATCGTCACATTTTTACAACACATTCAAATGTTCCTATTATTAAATGGTGTCCGTCCTTTTAAACATTTTTTCCTAGCAAAGTATATTTTGTGGTTCATAATATTTCAAACTTCTTTTTCGATTTGGTGACAGCACTTTCACCCAGCCGCTGAGGTTTTCTTATTTATTGAGGCAAATTAAGCCATTTCGACTCTTTTTGTCATTCGACTTGTCGACTTGTTATATCTCAAATTTTAGAAAATCTTTTATTGAAATTGGATTTTGAAAATCTTTATGTCATTAAAGGCCACTAAAATATATCTAAATCCTATTCCGCATATATATTACACAAAAATAATTTCATTCAAACTATCTCTGTTAAACTTATACATATATTTTTGTAGCTTTTCAATCTTATACAACACTTACCACCGATGATATTCTACTCGAAGTCGATCAAAGTTCTAAAGTTAACTGTTATTATTTGCTATCCTATGGCCTGTCACTGACAATCGTGGCAATTTCATTGGCCATCAATCCGAGCACTTACACTCAAAATGATTATTGTGTTCTTATGGAAACAAATGTGCTATTCTATGCCACATTTATAAGTCCAGTGTCGCTATTTCTTATCGTAAGTATTTTAAAAGTTTATTACTTGGCTTTTTAGACAAATAATCTGTTTTTTTTTTTTAAATAACTATATATAGGGTGCTTTGGGTTACACTTTCCTATCATGGGTAATAATGTGTCGTAAGGCGAGAACTACGTTGAAAAACAAGGAGCATACAAGACTGGCTAATGTTCGGTAGGCTATACATACTGTGGCGATTAATGTATCAACAAACAATCAACATTAAACTCAATCCTATTCTTTCAGTTTTGATATACGTTGCTCTTTCATATTTCTATTGTTGCTGTGTTCCGTGTGGCTTTCCGCCTATTTCTATCTGAGACGTTCGAAAATGGATGACCAAATGGCTCAGCTTTATGGTTATCTTTTTGTAGGTTTCAATACAATGATGGGAATTTATATTTTTGTTTTCCACTGTATACAAAATGAAAAGGTACGACTAAGCTTAATTATTAAAAAAGGACCATTTAACCAAATTTTACTCAATTAAAAACAGATTCGTCGTGAATATCGCAAATATGTCAGACAAAATTCTTGGTTGCCAAAGTGCTTGCGTTGCAGCAAGACTTCAATATCATCGGGTATTGTCGGTGGCAGTGCTTGCGGTGGTATGAATTCTGCTGGCAACGCCGGTACTTTGACGAGTAATGCCAATGCTCTGGGGGTTTCAAGTACCGGAACTCAAATGAAAAAATCGAAAATACCCATTGGAGATGCTAATGAAAACGAGGACATCGTAAACATGGCGGCAGCAACGGATGATGCTATATTGGCAACGAGTGATTGTGAAATGAATGACAGTATTTCACGACGGCAGGGTTCATCAGCAAGTGCCGGCAATACTGCTACCTTACAAAGTGGTATAATCCAGGGTAATCTGGTGTTACAACACTCATCTAAATCCAATGAACCGATCGCACCACCCAACCATACAGTCCTAGAACGAAATTCGAATATCATTATGGGAATACCAGGTGCTTCTGGGACATTGAGATCAACTGGAGGGGGTGGAATGCACACGCCTAGTGCTGGTCATACTTCACCGACATCATCTGTAAGCTCAACACATTTAATTTTCGGACAAGGACATAAACAACAGCAATTGGCTGCCGGTAGCATGAACGGTCCACAAACACAAGAGGCCTTTTATCACCAACCAGACTACTATGCTTGGCAGCAAAAGAACCTTAAGGGGGGTCAAGCGAGAGATTATCATGGTGCCGGTGTATCGCCTCAACAGCCGCAGCAACAAACACACGAATTTTTCTATTGGACCCAGAAACATAATCAAGGACATGGCAAAAAGAAGCGTGGAAGCAATACTGGTTCCGATTCACCAAGTGGATCCCTACATTCACGTAATACAGCGACATCCCAACAAATTCTGTTTTACCCATCGTACAAGAAAACTACAATGAAGCAACAGCAGGGGCATGCTTTACAACAACAGCATCCCTACTATGCCGAAGCTATAGATCCAGGTGCGCCTCCATACTACCAGCGACAACAGCAACAAATGCAGCGTAGGCCAATGCATGCGCAGCAACATCAGCTATCATCGGACGATGAACAAATGGAGCATGCGGCACACGCACATTTGTTACAACAGATCAATCGTCGTGGTCAAGGCCCTGGGGAATTTTCTCTAACCCCAATGACAATGGGGCCACAACAACGTTACTATAGAAATAAGCATTCCAACTGTGATTTAAACCAACCTGACAATTTCGATATGCATCGTGTGGTCGGCGATGGTAGTGGTGGGGGTGGGATGGTAGACCCCAGTGCCGGCGAAACTTACTATAATCAAGGTTCGTTGTGCGGTGATAATGGTCCTGTATACGAAGAAATCTTAAGTAATCGTACCTCCGATGTACAACACTACAATGTGGACGATATGTTGCCTCAGCACGATTATGAAGATGAACGTGCCATGCAGGCCTTATACCAACGTCAACAGCAAAAAAAGTTAATGAATCGATATCCAACTCACAGTAGTAATGGTGGTCGAATGGCCACTAGTCATGATTACGTGGATGATTTCGAAGCGCCAGTTAGTGGCGAAAGTCCCTACAGCGATCCAGATGACGACGATGATGATGAAGATGATCGTGACGATGACTGCAGTGATGACCAGTTGCCGCCTCAAAGCGATGAACGTATGAGAAGATTAATGGCCATGCAAGATGCCGACTTTCAAAGAAGATTTCAGTAAGTATTGTAATTGGAAATATTACCAGCAAAAATTTAAACAGGTTTCATTCATCTATATTTATAGACGTCAGTTGCGTAAAAATGCACAAGCGAATGATGGAGCATCCGGCCCCCCAGGCTACCATGAATATCATGAGTCTGTGCAGCCATATTTACAATCCCAGCAAGTCCACCACCCACAGCAACAGCCAACACAACACCAACAGCCCATAACGGTTTTTGGGGTAAGTAGCGGCTCCGGAGGTTCAATACGTAGTTTTAAAAAAACTGCTCCCGCTTCCGGTAGTCGCTTAGCTGTCAATGAGCTATTCAATCATGGTCCACCACTGCCGCCTGCCAACCAGCATTCTATGCAGAAAAATAAGCATTTACAACAACAGCAGCAACAACAAAGTGCACAGTCTCAGCTTCCGCCAAATCATCATCAGCAACAACAGCAAGTGTCTCCACAGTCGCTAAGTACACCAGTTGTCGGACGAAATATATCTGCCATGCTGGATGAGAACAATACTGTGAGGTGTTATTTAGAGCCTTTAGAAAAGTAATTGGTATATCACAATCCCTCTTAATGCATTATATGGAAAGACATTCTAAACGTGTTTAACAATGTGTATTTATTGAATAACAGTAGTTAATGAAAACCAAATCAATCCTAAGACCCGGAAATCCAAATCCGCTGAAAAATAAACAGTTTTTTGTTTTTTCAAATTCTCTAATGTGTAGTAAGCAAAGCAAAAACCGCGCATTATGTGTAATTAAAACAAAACTAATTTATAGAAATGTAAGAACCAAGAGTACATTTAACAACACTCACCCATACCTTTAATAAACTCCCACTAAAATTATTGGTAATTTTAAGTCGACGAACATGAAACCTGCTAAAAACAAATGCCATTTTGTTGATTGACTTTAGACGATATTTTTGTATGCAAACACATTTATTTTTGATGTACTTTTGTTTTGTAATAGAAAAGCTTTTTTCCCCGTCATTCCTTAAGCAAAAAGGGATGAATATGCAGATAAGGTATAAATCGGGATTATTTCATAGATTATTTTAACTGCAATAAGTTACATTAACTTTAAACGTTTTTAGGTTTAACAAATGTAAAGCTTAGACTAAGAATATTTTCTATTATAATTAGTGGCTTTTTTAATCTCTTTTCCTGTATAGTCATTCAGTCTGTTAAGCTTAATATGATTTTGTAAATTATTTCACGAGTTTTCACAGTTGGTTAATGAATTCAGTATCTTTTTCCTCATTGTTTTTTCTTTTACACTCGGATTTATCCAAATATCTAATTTACCCTTAGATACTTTTTTATTTTTTGTTTGTTTATTAAAACCTATATAGTAACGAATGTAAACATTATGTAAATTTATAACTTATATCTAAAAATGAAGAAGTTTAATAAATGTGTATAGTATGAAATTAAAAATATTTATTTCTATTGTGTTGATTTCTGCTAAGGTTCAGGTTCTAACTCTAAATAAAAAAATCAGCTCGTTTCACAGGAATGAGTTGGTATGTTTGGGCGGGTAATTAGAGAGATGCAGTGCAATGTGCGAAATAGGAATTACTATAGGTAGGCCCATATGTTTTCTACCAAAACATTTTTTTTATAATAATAATAAATTGGCAACAAGAAATAAAATAAAAAAAATGAAATTGTTGCATCTAAATAAAAAGGTAAGATAGAGCTGATTCCAATTTTGTGTACGTATTATTTGTTTTTGAAAAAACAAAATATTTTCAAAACGAAGATAGGAAGAAACTTACATTTCGGGCGTGCATTAAATCAAAGTCAAATGCCATAATTATTACATTTTTTTTTAAATTTTATTGTATGAAAGAAACAAATGTCGGAAATAATATCAAATTTTAGAATAAGTTTAGATTTGTTAGAATTGGTCACCTTCGGCACGAATTATAGCCTTCAAACGGCCAATGAAACCGTCACACGCTGCCCGAAAGTTGCTCTGCGGCTTTTTGGCCCATTCCCGGCGAAGCGCTTGCTTGAGAAAAATTAAATGGATGCATCTAAATAAAAAGGTAAGACAGAGCTGATGCCAATTTTGTGTATGTATTTTTTTTTTTTTTTTTGAGAAACAAAATATTTTCAAAACGAAGATATTAAGAAACTTAAACTTATTAAGAAACTTGCGGGGATGCATTAAATACAGGGTGAGATAAAAAAACTGCAACAAAGTCAAACGCCATAATTTTTACATTGTTTTTTTTTTTTTAATTTTATTGTATGAAAGCAAAAATGTCAGAAATAACATCAAATTTTAGAATAAGTTTAGATTTGTTCGAATTGGTCACCTTCGGCACGAATTATAACTTTCACACAGCCAATGAAACCGCCACACGCTGTCCGAAAGTTGCTCTGCGGCATTTTGGCCCATTCCCGGCGAAGCCAACCTTGTTTTCCAACATACTCCAGACACAATAGTCCAACGGATTGGTATCCGGAGACTTTGGTGGCCATTGTGCGCTAGAAATAAACGAATAACCTCATTTTGTAACCATTCTTGGTGGTGTTGAGTCCTATTGGAATGTCCAAGGTCTGCGGCTAAAATGTTTGCTTGCCCAAGGCTTTAATACACCCTCCAGAATATTTTCGCGATAATATTCGGCATTTATTCTGGTGCCACGTCGATTAATACAAGCGAAGAGCGACCATCAGCTGTTATAGAAGCCCACACCCTGGCCGGCGCTTGAGTTCTGGTGGCCAGTCGAAGGTGCACATTTTCAGCTGACCTCTTTGGCAAGTAAACACGATCATTTTGTTTGTTTACAAACTGCTGGACAACGAATGTTTTCTCATCGGAGAAAACCAAATTCGGCAGTTCATCACTTTCGGCCAAGCGAAGCTCCTTTGAGTCTATTTTCTTTCTGTTGCGGTTTAAGTTCTTGTACTTTTTGGAATTTCAATGACTTATCCCGAGCTCATTTTCTTAATATTTGCCGAATGGAATATTGCGATATGATCAGCTCACAATCCATTTTTCGCCCACTGCGACCCGGGTTCAATCAAGTCGCTTCTTTACATTTCGAACCATTTCTTCTGGTGTCACTGTTTTCTTCCGTCCACTTCCTTGACGTCGGGCTACGCTACCGGTATCACGGTAACGAGCGATGATAAGAGACTCAAAAGATTTACATTTAAAGATTTACCACTTGTGGTTTACCAGTAAACCATATAATGAGCTGTTACTGGAGTAATTTTAACAGCTGTCGAACGAGTGGCCTTTAAATGACAGCTGTCTGAAGTTTTTGCAGTTTTTTCATCTCACCCTATATATTAGCCAGTTTTGTCAATTAATTTAAAGTTTGAACAGTTTGGATTTCCTTAATCTTTCGCTTTTCCTAGTTCACTTTAAAAATGAGAAAAATGTCAAATAATTAAGAACAACTTGCTGCATATAATTTTAAAGATTTATGACAAAAATCTGGCTTAGCCTAAGGGGTTGTATTTCATGGTACATGGTACAATAATAAGGTAAGGTAGAGCTACCAACAGATTTGTTTCTAAGTATACCCGACTTCTGCCAATTTTTGATCTGATCCAGAACTACAAAAATTGAAAAATGTTTACTACGATGACGGATTTTCTTTTATGATATCGAAAAAAATGCAAAATAAGTCGCAATTGTTTTCAAAAGTAAAATAACAAAATATTTTTGAAACATTGCGGGGCGAGCATTAAAGATATTAACCAGTTTTGCTAATTACGTGAAATATGGAACAGTTTGGGAAACAACTTTAGTTTTGTAAAAACTCTTCTTTTTTTTCGATTTTTTTCCAGAGGTAGATATTTTACCCCGATTTTTTTCTGGGGGGATGGACCCGGGATTCCAGATTTTTGACCCGAAGCTAGACGAGGATTCACTTATCCGATGTAGATAATATAGGTATCGTTTGAAAGCCTGTCCAACAAGTGGGTTTATTTATGAGAGGTTAGGAAGTTATAGTCATAGTTTCCGGAATCAGGTAAAAATATCTATCACCGGAAAAAATTCAAAAAAATTGAAGAGTTTTTTACTAAACTAGAGTTAAGCCCAGTTTGGATCAATTTTTTGAGTAAAATCCAGGCTCGCTCTTGTTAACTCACTTTAAAAATGAGAATACATATAAAATAATTAAGAACAACTTCTTGCATATAATTTTGAATAATTCTGACAAAAATCTGATATAGCCTGAGGGCTGTATATCTGTAGTTTTACGAAGTTACCCTACCTTTTAATTGTACCATGGTTAATAATTTGTTACCTTTTTCTGACGAAAAAGTTGACAAACTTTATTTCGCAAAAAAATCACGAAATTCCTTCCTTTGGTAAAGATGTTTAAGTAAGTATTTTCAGATAAAGGGTGATTTTAAAGAGCTATAGCAAATTGAAAAAAGCAAAATTTAGAAAAATTAATGAAATCTGTATTTGAACTGATAACGGACCATACAATTTTGCCTGCGACTAGGCCTGCTTAGTCCATTTTTGGCATACTTTTTCCCCTTTTTGGCCGGTGTCTCATAAATAAATGTTTCAATTTTGGCCAAAAAAAGGATATCATCTCACGGTAGCGTTAACCATTCACATTTACTTTGCGATTCCCATCTTCTTTGAAGAAGTTCGGCCACGAGGCCCTTGTATGCTTGAATGTAGATATTTGTAGGATCCCGTTAAAACTCGTGATTAGGAGTTTTATCTGGTAACTTTTGTTTTGGGCTTATTATTAAGCCTATAGTTTACTATATCTTTCTTTTTTCTCTTACAATTTAAATTGTATATCCTCTTTTGTATTACAAAAACCCTTCTCGATATATTTTGCGAACGTTTACACCCTATGTTGCTGCATTTTGTCTCGATTTGTATAGCACACTATTTCATCTATACAATGACAATTTACGATATATATTGTCTTGTAAAACTAAAATGAGATTAATACTTAGCTTGGTTAACGGTAAATTACCTTTCGTGTCTTATATTTATATAAATTGGAATTTTTTTCCACATCATACTTTAGCTAACAAAGCCCAAAATTAGAAAAAGCCAAAAAAGTTATGCCATAAATTGTGATCACTTAAGAAAAAAAATTGAGGAAAAAATATGATTTATTTAAAATTACAGTTTTATATACGATTCATAATCTCCACTATTGAACATATATTTATAGTAAATATACCTTACTGGTAAAACCGCTGGACTTATCAGATGACCATACAGATCGTTCATGTGTCTATTGATTGTCAGTAGACAGTTTAAGTTCGTAATTTGCTCATGTCGGTTTACTACCTTTTAAAGGTATCTCCAAATGTTCGGGATTTAACCATATAAGCACATTTTCTATCGGATTTTTTGGCATAGGTACACGTTCTGCTTAAGAACCTTCAAGAATGTTTTCATATTTCCTCACAGCAATATGTAAAACATAAAGTTTATAGACGGCTTTGTTTTCTCAGCTATACTTATTTTGATATTACTATGGGAATATTAACATATGCATTTTAAACGTTTTGACCAACTGTCGGCAATTAAGTAGAAAGCTTTCTTATCTGCCAATATTTTCCCGACATCTTCAAATACTGTTTCATTTTTAAGGAACAATATCAGTTTCAATCTTTTATTTCAAAAGGAAAACAAAGTGTACTCAATTCAAGTTATTTAGAAAATATTCTTTTAACTCTTCCCGTAATAAAAATGCTTCTGATGATGAACGGAAAGTTGATGTAGATGTATAAGTGGGAAGGAAACTGTGTTCTTCCCTCCATTTTCCAAGAATTTTACGATCACCAATCTGATGGTCAATCAGTTCACTAGTAAAATAATTATTATCATTTTTTATCATTAAAAAATTATGCAAAGCCACAGTAGCTAGTATATATTTCTCCGCCATTTCAGGGCTTATATTAGCTTTTGTGTGTAATATTTTCCATCTGTTAGATAAAATGCCAAATGCGTTTTCTATAATTTCTTGGGCGTTGGATAACATTGAATTGAATATTTCTTTTCCTTGTGTTAAATTATTTCCCGGAAATGGTCGCATCACATTCTCTCTTAAGGGAAAAGTTCTATCAGCAACAAAATAATAGGGGAAAATTGTTCTTGATCCTGGTAGCTTTTCATTGCACGGGATATCTAAACTGTCATCCAATATTTTTTGTCCGAACTCACTTTGTGCAAGTATACCTCCCTCTATATCATTACTTAATGCACAAACATGTACATGTGTAAAAACGTAATTCGCATCACAAATTATCAAAAGTATCACACTAATGGTTGTTTTCGAGTTATGCGAAGAAGCGATACGTATATCCTTTGCACCCAGTACGCCTAAACAATTGGGCAAGGACGTATTGGCGTAAAATTCTTTCGCAATAATTTTGAACTCTCGTTTGTTGGGCGGCAACATGAACACAGGGTGAAGTCCATTCCAAATATCATCACATGTTTCAGATATTACTTTGCGCACTGTTGAAATTCCTATATTGTACACCAAAGCAAGAACTTGAACATTGCAGTCATTTGCCAAAAAACTAGAATGAAATGTTTTATTTATGAATGTACGATACGAAGATAGTATATGCTTACATTACTGTAACGGCCAAACGAGTCTCCGACCCTATGGGCCTTCGGTTAGAAAACCTTTCCAATTTGTCTTCTAATATTGAAAACAATAAATTGTAATTATCAACGGTCATTCTAGTTACGGCAAAGAAATGTTCTTCGTTCCTTTCCATAATATATTGGGCACAGGCAGTGTAGTATTTCTCATCTTCGGGAGATATTCTTATTTCATGAGCTTTATTTATATTATTTTCTTCAGTCATAATTCCACAGCCAATATATAATTTCAATTTTCCAGGGCAGTGGTCATTATTAACATAAACCAATTGCCAATTTTGACAAAAAATTCTGTTCTGCAAATAAACAACAACAAACACTAATACTAAAAAATGCAAAATAAATATAAGTGTTTGCTAGAAGCACTATTATTGGGAAACAACTATGATTTTTTTGGACTACTTGCTTTATATTTTAATCAAAAAACTGCAATTTCTTTTATGTTCTGCGCACCAAAAGTTCCTGCAGTTGATCTCTTACGTAAAAGAGAAATAATGTAGGTTATTAAATTTGAGGTAAAGCTGTCCTTACGGTGACGATCGCGACCACACCTTTTCAACTTTTTCCATTCATGGCAGTCTGTTGCAAATTTATCGCTCCTGAACTTGAGATTGAAGACAATGTTCAGAACACACTTCCATTTGCATTTTGGCTTTTAATTTGTTTTAATGCCATTGCTCTGTTCACAGTACCTTCCATACCATAAATCTACAATTGTTGTTTTTCTATCTACAGGATTACTTAAGAAAGGGCAGCTCAGCCAAAAGTCTTTGTTGGTAAGCAGTACCACAAATGCCATTCCTGTCGCCCAACATTGGTGCAAATGCTTAATCATCAAATAGTTTTTCAGAAATATAAAATGCTGAACAGTTTGTGAACGAAACAATTGACAATTCCTCAAATTGAACCAATTCAAATGTCAATTGAAATTGGTTGATTACATCGTCGCTGATGTTGCTAACTCCTAGGTAAGGTCGGCCAAGAAGAATCATAAGAACCTCCGAAAGGTAAGATTAGTCTCTCTTTGGCTTAACTGTAGTTTAGTAAAAACTCTTCGAATTTTTTTTCTAGAGGTAGTTATTTTTACCCTGGTTCCGGGAAACTATTTTTTTTCTTGGGGGACGGACCCCAGATCTTCGACCCGAAAGTAATATAGGGTAATTTTTAAGTGGTTCGGAAGTTATAGTCAAATTATTGATTTTTTGGACCTGTTTTTTATATAAACCCCAAAAAGTCCCATTGCTGACGCTCTTACCTTTCCAAAATGCTACAATATGTGCTAATAATTTAGGCCCCTTTTCGACTTTTTGGGGTTTTTATAAAAAAAAACGGTTCCAAAAAAGCAATAATTTGACTATAACTTCCGAACCACTTTAAAATTACCCTGTATTATCTATATTGTCTATAGCGGGTAAGTGGATACGATTCTTAAAGCCGGGCTTTCGTGTCAAAAATCGTGGGTCCCGGATTCGTCCTCCAAGAAAAAACTTGTTTCCCGGAATCAGGGTAAAAATAACTACCTCTGGAAAAAATTTCGCCCAATTCCAAATTAAATTCACTTGATGTAATATACTTGTAAGCATTGAGTTCTGGGGCTTTTGTGAAGAGCAAAGCAAATAAGCGTGTGTGAAGCCAAAATGAAACGCGTTCCCAAATAAAAAAATAAGAAAGACAAAAAGGAATGCCCGATAAAAAAGAAAGAGAAAGCAAAATCCCCGAGTACCCCGTTGTTTACGAATGAGTGAAATGCATAACGCCGTGTACATCTGTTGACACGAAGAAAACGCAATCAATTGGAAAGATAACAAGGTGTTCCTGCAATTTTAAAAAACCTTTTGTTCTGTGATTTCAATCACAATAGAGAAGAGGTGAACCCATGGTGTAATTATTACAGGTAACAGCAAGTCCCAGCTGATTTGACACTATAGTAATAATAGTGTCAAACTCGATATGATGTTTTGTGATTTAATTCCATTTCTTGATATACAATAGGTATACCCTTTTTTGGTATAACATTTTAACTGCAGGGCAATGTAAACATATTTTTTTTGCCTAATAATAGAAAAAATCACCGTTGTACTTAACAAAAGCCAAAGGCGATGGTTTGGAAACTTTTTTTTTTGCCGTTAAGGAACAGCGACACCACGTCAGATAATATATTCGTATATTTCATGTTTCCTAAAATTGCAAAATCTAGAATACTTTATGTATGTATGCTGTTTGGTTTCAACTTGAAAGAGATGTTGCCTTTTCCGCGATTTTCTAGCGATTGCTTGAAGCGTAGAGAGATTAGGACCAACATTCAGGGGAATGATGTAAAAGCATTAAAATTAAATATTTAAAAAAGTATTATTTTGCATTTTCAATTTAATAAACCAAATCCCAAAAATGTATATTTTTGAAATTAAAACAATTTATTGAAAATCACTCTGACACTTGTATTACTTACAAAAACAAATTTGTATGTGGTTGTTGTTACGATTGTTGTACAACAACACTTGCTGTTACCTGTATTTTTCTACCATGAGGTGAACCATGGCACAAGAACAAGATGTTCCTGCAATTAAAAACATTGATTTAATGTCAAAATTATAATAACTAGAATTTGTTTATCTTTTGTTCTGTGATTTCAATTACAATATTGCGTGTATAAATCAAGAATGAAATCAGCTGGTCTTATCGGCCATGGAGGATGTGTGGTATGGCCAAAACAAAGAAAAAATAAAAAATAACTACAATTCAAAGAAGTAACTACACGAACTACAATTCAACAAGAAAAATTAAACGATTGCAATTAAAACAATTGAACAATTAGAATTCAGCAACAAACATAACAGAAAACAAGTAAAAAAACATTTAGTTCGGCCGGGCCAAACTTTTAATACTCTCCACCTTAGGGTAAAAGAAACATTAGAAGAAATGTGGCAAAAACCACTAAAATGCCGAATATCTGGAGGTACCGTTATACGGGGGCTACACCAAAACGTGGACCTATAATTACAATGTTTCGCCACACGAACTAGGACCCATTATGACCAACAAATACCAATTTTCAGACAAATCCGTGAAAAAATGTGGCAAAAATCATCAAATTACCGAATATCGGGAGGTACCGTTATATGGGGGCTATACCTAAACGTGGACCTATAATTACAATGTTTCGTCACAGGAACTAGGACCCATTATGACCAACAAATACCAATTTTCAGACAAATCCGTGAAAACATGTGGCAAAAATCATCAAATTACCGAATATCGGGAGGTACCGTTATATGGGGGCTATACCAGAACGTGGACCGATATATCTCATTTTCAATACCAACCATCCTAGACACAATGCAAATAGCTCTGCTAAATTTTGGCGCTCTACGTCAAATAATGTGGGCTGTATCGTGCTTTCAACAGACAGACGGACATCGTTAAATCGACTTAGAATTTTATGCTGATTATGAATATATATACTTTATGGGGTCTAAGACGAATATTTAAGGATGTTACAAACGGAATGACAAAGTTAATATACCCTCCTTTCCAAGGTGGAGGGTATAATGATATTGAAAATGAAAAGAAACAATATCCTGCATTAAAAAACAAACACACTATCCGAGCTGCAGGAATTCTCAGTCTCATGGCTCTATAAGAAAGGTTGCTCAACTTCGAAGAAACAAAAAAATGCAACTCTGTAATGGAGTCTTATAGTAGTCTTATAGACTTGGGCAGCATATATCTGACTATGTGGATATTTTCTTGGGAATTAACTTTGAACGGTTTGTTAATTGTAGGGTGTTATGCTCTTTTTATAAAATTGTGAAAACAGGTGTACCTGCTTTATTAAAGAATATGTTTAGATTTGCTATGTCCTCGAGAAATACTCAGATATTTATACCTAGAATATACAATTCTACTTTTGAGAGATCTTTTGTAATACGAGTTGCCCGTTTATGGAATTATTTGCCTACTGAACTGAGAATATTTTCACCGTCTAATAATGCTTTCCGCTTAAAACTTATAGGCCACCTTCGTAATTCTGATCTTCATATTATCTAATGTATATTATTAGTTTGTTAAAAACAGTACATGTTTTTAGTACTTTTACTTTTGAGATATGTATGTACACTTATTTAAGGCTTGTTGCTTTGTTGCTATCACGTCCTTTATTTATTATTAATATTAATCTCTTTTTTTAATTTTTGTGTAGTTATGGGCTGGGGAGCCAAATATATTGACTTAGTTAATATTAGTTTTAAGTTATTATTTTCTACTTGGAGCATAATTACGTTATTAATACTATTCATTGGCCTTGGAGGCTTTAGTATTATGGTATGAAATGAATAAATAAATAAATAAATAAATATATTTTTTAACATGCAACAATGGGTTTTCTTTATTTTACTTTTCGCAAAAATACTGTAGTGGGGACACCCCACAAAATATAAATGAAATATTGGGTTTCTCCACAAAATAGAGGTACAATGTTATTTCATCCAAAATAATACACTTTGTTTCCCATTTTTGTTGCATCTAAATTTGAAATAATTTCAAATTATTTTTTTTTTAATTAAAACCAGGGTAGAAAAATACAGGTAACAGCAAAGTGTTGTTGTACAACAATCGTAACAACAACCACAAACAAATTTGTTTTTGTACGTAATATAAGTGTAAGAATTATGTGTACAAAAATGTAAAGAAAATCAATTTTCAATAAATACATTTTTGGAATTTGGATGATTAAATTGAAAATGCAGAAGAATAGTTGCTAAATTATTAACTTGGAATTCTTTCATACTATTCTCCTGAATGTGCAGCGGTTAGCTGTATGACCTAATCTATCAACACTTCTAGCATTCGCTAGAAAATCGTGGAAAAAGCAACATCCCTTTTAAATTGAAAGCAAACTGCATACACACATAAAATATTCTACATTTTGCAATTTTAGGAAACATGAAATATACGACTATGTTGCTTAATGGAGTGTCACTCCTTTTTAACCGTGAAAAACGTTTTCGCACCATCGCAGTTGGTACAACGGCGATTTGTTAAGTACAACGGCGATTTTTTCTATTATTATGAGCCAAAAAATGTCCACATTGCCCTGCATTGAAATTTTATATTTAAAAATGGTATACCTTTTGTATATCAAGGAATGGAATTAAATTACAAAATGCCATATCGAGTTTGACACTAGTATTACTATAGAGTCAAGTCAGCTGGGACTTGCTGTTACCTGTAATAATTATATATAATATATAATTATATATTAAAACAATACACACACATATACAAACTGTGCGTATGTTTTGACAGAACAGGGGCACAAAAAATGTATTCAGTGGATAGCTTTGTTCTGCCTTCTGTAATTGTGCCATGGTAGACATTATTAAATCAGTAAATAAAATTTAAAAAATAAACAAGTAAAACATAAATCATTGCTAAAATGAATATCTTTTAATTTCGCTTGTTATTAAAAGGTGATTATTTAAAACACTTTTCGGCCCAAAATAAGATCCGAGAGATCCGGTTAGTGTAATAATATAATCGGATCTTGCCTTAACATTGAGTAGATCCAGAAATGTATGTCTTCTACCACAACGCTTTCTAATCTCTATTAAATCATGTTCGAAAGATTAATTCATACAATATTTTGCTTTTATTCTTGGATACCGCCATGGTACAATAAGGAGGTAGAACAGCTTCCTAAAACTACATACAGCCCTGAGGCTATGCCTCTCAGACAAATTGTTTTTATTTATTTCATATTTTTGTTCATTTTTAAAATGAGTCAACTAGCGCGAAAGATGAATGAAATGACTGGACATTCTCTCAAAAATATGATCCTAAGCGTTCACTCTTTCAAATTAATATTATTAATGCGCGCCCCGCTATTTAAGTCTCTTCCAATCCTTGATTTTGAAAATATTTTGTTTTTATTTTTCAAAACAATAAATACATACAGAAAATTGGCAGAAGTCGGGCGCACTTAGAAAAAAAATTTGTAATCAGCTGGTAGCTCGACCTTACCTTTTTATTGTACCTTGGATACCGCATTCCAAATGTTATAATAAGTCAAAGGCTTTATTAAGTGTTGCAATTACTTCACACGGTTCAATATTTTCAAAGCAAAGTCTCGCAATAGGAATCATTCCAGATATAAAATTATTTTCGACTCTAGACTCGAGTGCTTATCTTCGAAAATAAACTATGTTAAGAGGATCGTGCTCAAAGTTATACGACATGTAATAACTAGAACGAAAAGTAGTTTTTCGCAATTGTGAATTTATCATTGTAATCTATAAATTAAAAATGTGTAACAAAAAATCAGGAGATACAAAATTTACACTGTGTCATGGCGCAATAACAAGTTTTTTTTTAAAAAACCAAATGTGTTGTCAAAATTAGTTTACACTATTTTGGCTATTGTTTATCTTTATTTCCGTGATTTCAATCACAAGAATGCATTTTGACATTACATTTGGTAGTCAGTTGGCTTGGGGGACCTTATACTCGGGCCCAGCGAACGAAAATAAACTTTACCAAACGTTTACCAATCGTTTTGTTCCGTATTTTCTTGAAGTACGAAACGAAAAAAAGCCGATATTAAGGTAACGGGACTTGCTTTGTATTTTGTACTGTTTGCGTAGATGAGTGGAAACAAAAACAAAACTGAAAAGTACTCTGCTGAATGACGCAACATTGGAAACGAAACATTACAAAACTCATTGCAAACGTTTCTCTGTATATTAACTCATTTAAAACTAATATTAATTTAAATTCAAATTAAATTATTTATTGATTACGTCCAATATACAATGGAAACAGTGTAAAAAATATCTAGAATGATTACTCAAAATGTAGCAGTCATCGTTTCGCACAGCTAACGTTTGGAAACGTTTCCCGGCGATTGGTTCGCAAACGATACATCTCGGCAAACCACAGCCGAAGTACGTTAGGGCAATCGTATTGTTTGTGTACTTCGGTCATTGAAATGTTTGTGGTATTGTTTTGTTTGAAGTACCACTTCGACTTCGTGTGAGCAGTACGTTATTCGTTTCATTTGTTTTAGTTCGCTGCTTGGGCCATGTACTGTGTAGTTCACGAGAGTTCCGTTGAACAATTAACAAGTAAAAAAACATCAAGTTCGGCCGGGCCAAACTTTTAATACCCTCCACCTTAGGGTAAAGGAAACATTAGAAGAAACGTGGCAAAAACCATTAAAATGCCGAATATCGGGAGGTAGCGTTATATGGGGGCTATACCAAATCGTGGACCTACACATGCAATGTTTCGCCAACGGAGCTAGAACCCATTGTGACCTACATATACCAATTTTCAGACAAATACGTGGAAAAATGTGGCAAAAATCATCAAATTACCGAATATCGGGAGGTACCGTTATATGGCGGCTATACCAAAACGCGGTCCTATAATTACAATGACTCGCCACACGAACTGGGACCCATTATGATCTACAGCTACCAATTTTCAGAGAAATTCTTGAAATTTCTTTCTTTCTATTTTCTTTTAAATTCAAAACAATACACACATATACAAACTGTGTAACTATTTTGACAGAATAGGGGCACCAAAAAAATGTATTTATGGGATTACTTTGTTCTACCTTCTTTAATTGCTACGCCCACACCTTAGCTTAAACTGAATGGAATTCAATAGACAATAGATTCAAAATTATCTCCTCAACAATATGTATGCTTTCTTTAGAAACTTTTTACGCTAAGAATTTCGGCTGATAATGTTTCTTATGAAGCCAAATTCAATATTTGCTCTGTTCCGGAACCTGCAAGAGTCTACTATTTTTACCTTTTTTCGATATTATAAAGGGCATACGGTTATCGTAGTAAAAACTTTTACATTCTTAATTTACATTGCATGGTACAATAAGGAAGTAGAACAGCTTCATAAAACTACAGAAATACAGCCCTGAGGCTATGCCCGCTTCCTGTCAGAATAATTCAAAATTATATGTAACAAGTTGTTTTCATTTATCTGTTTTTTTTTTTGTTCATTTTTTAAATGAGACAAATAGCGCGAAAGATGAATGAAATGACATGGCATATCTTGTTAATATCATTAATGCGCGTCCCACAATTTAAGAATGTTCCAATCGTTGATTTTGAAAAAAAAATTCTTTCTATTTTTTAAAACAATATATATATACACAAATTTGGCAGAAGTCTTGCACACTTGGAAAAAAATGTAATCAGCTGGTAGCTCTACCTTATCTTTTTATTGTATCATGCATTCTTTTGGTTCTGGAGCGGTTCAGAGCAAACATTGTACAATGAAGACAATGTAGGCTAAATTTGAAAAATTTGCAAGTAAAAAATCAAACAACTTTTAGCATTGATTTCAAATAAATAATTGAAAACCGCGAAAACTGAATGGAAGGTCAAAAATCTTATATATTTTAATGCCTTTTTGTATTTATTGTTAGCATGATTTTTACGGTTTTGTTGAGTGCTACTAATTCCCGTTCCGGTACTAATTTCTTTTTTCAAGTACGGGAACAAAGCTTTTGTCTTGTCCTGTAAACCCAGTTTAATAACTGGCAAACACAGGGACGAGTTGCCAACCTATATTTGGACGGCGTAATGACAACCCAAAGATGCGACGATTACAAACAGTGGCAATTCTAGTTGTATAAAGAGTGTTTATGTCTCAAGTCTGGCTTTGACTCGTTTTAATTTGTTTAACTTGTAAATAACTTATAGATTTATTTTTATATTATGAACATTTTGTAATTTTGAACTAATCTTTAAAAGAAAATGAAGTTCGTTGAAATATATACTCTTTTGGGTATAATAACAGCAGGTAATGGTTTTAATTTGTGAAAAGAATTTTCTAAGCCACACCCCTGGCTCAGATATTCTCATAACATCGACACATTAAGACGTTGATTCATTACAAGTAAAATGTTAATAAATCGATTCTTATTCTCATTATAGTCAATGCCCAGTCGTATGCGTCAGTGGATGCCCGACAAGCTTGTGTGATTCCAAAAATATTACAAGGATCATGGTTCTCTTGGGAAACTGGTCGTCCAACTGCGACTGTTATTGACGCTACTCAGATGTCGCGTCGAGGTTATTGTGTTGCAATGGAGAAACTTCGCGCTGATGAATATTCATTTGTATTCAAGGAACAATCTATCAATTGCTATCACTGTGTAAGGACTTTTATAAGGACATTAAATGTCTTCGAAAAGTTTGAAGGTATTATACTTTTTCTAATTTGTACCTGTAATGTTTTTTTATGGTGGCACTTGATTTTTGTTGATCTATTGGCGTTTGTAAAGCATTTCATTACTCAGCCAAAAACTGGCGGCTTAACTCTAGTTTAGCAACAATTTTGATTTTTAGATCAGATTTTTATTTCAAGGTTGAGTTACCTTTTTCTGACTGTTCATTATTTTCGCAATTCTTCCAGGTCCATGTGTTTCCGTACCCGATGGCACCGAACCCACTGTTGAATATGTATGCCGTGGCATAAAGGATGACCAGCAGCTAATTACGCTTTTCAATGAAAATTTTGTACCAATCAATTGCCGTAGTTCCCTAGAAGGCGTTTGGCACTTTACATATCAAAACCGATTCCGTTTCACGGGTGTCTGCAATAAACCTGATGCACGTATACAATCGTGTCAAACAGCTGGTACACAGTTTTTGATTCAAAATCAAAAATTTAATATTACCTATCAACAGTGTGAGGGTATGGATGGTACATTTAGTGGTACAGTGGAATACAGTTGTCTGGGCGATTGGTTTGTTGGTAAAAATCATTATTTCGCTGTGGCCAATACAAAAGAATCGCGTAAAGATGAAAAGTATCGCTGCTTCCTTAAAAATCGTGATGATGATTTATACATTGGTGTCTCAATCACTGCCGAATGTAATACTTTGAAAACACCCGAGCAGTCACCAGAACGTTTGAAATTGACTCCGGTTAAAGCGGAATATGTTGAACCTGGTTGCACTTTGCCACAAAATTTTAGCGGAGAATGGGTTAATACCGCCAACATTGATGCCGAAGTCATAATTGATGATACACACATAAATGAAACTTATTATCCAGATAGAGCGCGTTATAGACGCACCATTTATGTATGTCGGGAGCGTCGTGGAAACCGTATAATGATGGCCCGTCTTACTGTAGACGGTTGTCAAAAGGATTATGTTTGTTTTGATTTTATGCCAAGACATCATAACATAATACGCTATCGCAAGGGTTTGGCAGTTATCAAAGACGACTTTAGTACTGTATGTTCATGGGTGCAATTCAAGAATGCTGAAGCTTGGAAATATGATTTATTATTGGCCAAAAATCCAGTAGCTGTTAGATGTCCCGTCGCAGGAAAGTTTAATTTTACACAACGCGGCGAGCATCCTTTCAAGACAAGGTGGAACAATAAGAAATTCATAAAAAACAACATCCTTGACTATTTTTTTTATTTCTTTTTTAGAATATTGGGAGGTGTAACTCTTAGTCCACGTCCTGACATTCGCTGTAAGCAAAATATATCCGATTTGTCAGTTTGTGATACAGATCAAAAGGAAATGGCAGTAGATGAAAACTATTGTCTTTCAGTAGATCATTTGGGTAGACCAGTTGATATTTACAGTAAGTTTTGATCGTATTCCTAGAGTTTCGAAATTAAAGCATCACGTGTATTTTAGGTGATCCCGATTATCGCATGAAATGTATTGGCTTTTGGAAAGAAAATTTAAAATCATATCTAATAACCTATGATGACTTGGATCCTTTATCAAAATACAGGTGTTGGGTATATCAAAGAGCCGACTTAAATAGAGTACTTATGTCACAAGGTATTGTAAACACGAAATAGTTTTAAATATGTATCGTTGAAATTTGTGTTTTATTATTCTTAGCGGTGGGAGCATTTTGTAAATTGAATCAAGATGTCACATCGTGGAATCACTCAGAAGGTGCAGCTGTTGCTATAGATGCGATAGAATATGAACGAGAGCGTGACGATTGTCCCATGTATTTTGATGATGGTGAAGATCCTTGGCGTCAATCAGATGCTTCAAATGTGATTTTTGATTGGGATTTTTATAAAGCAGGCGCTGATCGTATAATTTTAGCTATGAATATACCATCAATGCTAACGCTTGTGAGTGGGTATATAATTCTTAGGCTAACGAGATTTATATTTTAGTATGGAGAAACGGCCATAACGTGTAAGAACAAATCGCAAATAATTTTCTAGAATCATCACATAAAAGCGTTCAGTTTCGAAATCTCTAGCAAACAATATCAAGTGTCTTACTAGTTTAAGTTTCCAATATATACAAATAATCTTTTTTATATACAAATTATTTTAGGAATTATCCATTCCTGTAACAAAAACCAATTCCGTCCATTTTCCATGTAAGAATACATGAACGTAATAATTAACACTACTTTCCAATTAGAAGTAATATTAAACAAATTGATTATTATTGAAGTTTTATTTGGAATCTACTATAGTACAATAAGGAGGTAAAAAGTGTCGTAAAACTACTGAAATACTGCTCGGAGTCGATGCCGTTTTCTGTCAAAAATAAATGTTACATGTTGTTCTCAATTATTAGATATTTACCCTCATTCTAAAATGGATTTTAATGCGCGAAGAATGAATTTAATTCCTGTATTTTCTTTCAAAAATATGATCCAAACTGTTCAATATTTTAATTCCATATCAAATTTAAGTTTTAAGTCTTCAATGCGCGCCCCGCAAAGTCCGTTTCTTCCAAACATGCATTCTGAAATTTGTTTATTCTTTCAAAACAATACCTTTAATGTACCTTGGAATCTACTACGAGTGAAGAATAAAATAAATGTTTGTATCATAACCGAACCAACTTAATAATTTCAAGTTGGGTTGGTGGGCGAAACTTAATATAGACGCAATTGGTCAGTGTTTAATAACAAGTTAAGTTTTTTTCCTTTTGAATAAGTTTCTAGGATATATAAATTTATATTTTAATAAGAAAATGATGTAAAGTAGACATATAGGGTGAGATGAAAAAAACCGCAACCAACTTCAGACTGCTGTCATTTCTAAGCCATTAGTCCGACAGCTGTTATTATTTTCATTATATTGTTTACAAGCGTACAAAAGCATTTTTGTGAGATTTTTCCAGCAAAAGATTTATTCGTGATGGAAATCAAGCGTGATAGTGTGATTTATTTATATTCGGCTGGAAAACCACAAGTGGCTATCGTTAGAGCATTCCAGCATTTAAATGTGAATAAATCTTTTGTTTTTCGTACCATCGCTCGTTACCGCGATACTTGTTTCGTAGCCCGACGTCAAGGAAGTGGACGGAAGAAAACAGCAATGGTTCAGCAGAAATGGTTCGAAAAGTAAAGAAGCTACTTTATCGAAAAACGTGTGGCAGTGGCCGAAAAATGGCTTGTGAGCTGAACTTATCGCAATATTCCATTCGGCAAATATTGAAAAATGAGCTCGAGGTAAAGCCATTGAAATTCCAAAAAATGCAAGAAATTACACATTGGCCGACATAACAGCCGATGGTCGCTCTTCGCTCGTATTAATCAGAGTAAATGCCGAATATTAGCGCGAAAATATTCTGAAGGGTGTATTAAAGCCTTGGGCAAGCAAACATTTTGGCCGCAGACCATGGACATACCAACAGGACTCAACACCATTGCACTCAGGACGCGTCACTAAAGAATGGTTACAAACTGAGGTTCCTGGCTTCATTTCCAGCGCACAATAACCCCCAAAATCTCCGGATACCAATAACTAAACTAAAAAATACCAAAGTGTTGATCACCTCAAGCAAACGCTTCCCGGGAATGGGCCAAAATACCGCAGAGCAACATTCGGGCAGCGTGTGAAGGTTTCATTGGCCGTTTGAAGGCCATAATTCATGCCAAAGGTGACCAATTCGAACAAATCTAAACTTATTTTGAAAATTGATGCTGTTTCCGACATTTTTTGCTTTCATTCAATAAAATAAAAAAAATATAAAAACTATGGAGTTTGACTTTGTTTCAGTTTTTTTATCTCACCCTGTAAGTTGTTTAAATGTTTACAGCTCTAAAATGCCTAATTGTCGTTTAAGGAGATTTTAGAGTGCGGTCAAACATTATAATAGTTTTCAATCTTTGGGACTGCAACTATTCTGTTCAATGCAGTAGTACAAACTCATGTGATGTGGAAATGTTCATTCTTGGCGACTGACTGCAAGCTGTGTTGTAAAAATTTCAAAGCCACATCATATACAATAAATTTTTACCTATGTCAATCAATTTGATATTGCGTAAAAAACGTTTTCGGAGAACTATGATAATCTCTCAATCTTTACATTGTTTGCCTATAAAAAAAGATCCAGTAAGATTTTCAATACTTAGTATCTGTCAGCGATACCGAGCAGGATCATAAATAAGGTTGCAGAATATCGATATATTTTTCCTCATATTTTTATAAAAAGGTCCATGAAAATATAAAATAGCTCACACATTTAATACTTTTAATTTGTCATTGAAATGTGTATTTCAGTAGATCTTATGGTTTATTTGTGTTTTTTCTCAAGAAAATCATCATGTTTCTTTGGATATTTGTTGTTTTAATTATAAAGTCGGTATTTTTCTTTAACATTTTGTTCAAATTTTAAGAGTGATTTCTTCCATATGTAATTATTAAGTTAATATTCTCTAGAACATAGCTCATTATCATTCGTGTTTCTTCGTTTCGAAACTACTTTATCTTAAAATTTAAACTCTCATCCAGTACATAGAAGAGCGAATTCTGTTGTAGTCAGGAAGATTCTCAACGGGGCCAACAGCAGCAACAGCTGGACATCTGTCGAAAATGTACTTCATGGCAACATCGCGTACATTCTGCACATCGACGGCATCAATACGTTGTTCCAATTCGTGCAATGGAATGCGGCGGTTATAGCAAAGCATTTGACGGCCGATATCTTCACAGATTGGTGTTGTGCCATCCAATTGCAACAACATGTTGGTCTTCAACAAATTCTTGGCACGCTCGACTTCAGCTTCGGTGACCATTGTGCAGAGACGCATCCATTCCTTTTGTACATTGAAAAGCATGTTTTCGCATTCCAATGGATCGCAGACAAAGTAAATGCCCCACAAACCGGTATCTTTGTAGCAGGTGTTGAATGATTGGAAGCTGTGGCACAAATCTGCAAGAATATGAATAATTTAAAAAAAAAACTTTTTTTTGTAATTTTAACAACTTACTGTCTTCAGCGCTAGCACGAGCCAAATTGGAGGCATTGTTGACGCCACCACCTTGAGAACGATCCCAAGCTCCGATAAGTGTGTTGGCCACCATCAAGGGAATATTATCTTGATCGGTCCAACCGCAGCCTTCAACAGCGACGGCAATATGGGCCAAAGGCAAGGAATCATCACGTACACGAACTTCAGAGCCAGTGAAACGGCAGGGAGTAACCTCTGGTGGTTTGCCATCATAGGTGTTAGCCAGCTTGCCCAAATTTTGTTCAGCCAATTTAACCAAATCGTTGTGCTTAACGCCACCAGCGCCGGCCAAGACAATGCGAGAAGCCTTGTAGTGGGTGCTAATGTAGTCTTGCAAATCAGCTTTGCCAATGGACTTAATGTTCTTGGTGGGACCCAAGATAGTTTGGCCCAAAGGAGTACCTTGATAGGCAGTGGCGTGCAAATGATCGAATACCACTTCTTGTAAGTTACTTTCAACTTCTTGCATTTCACGCAAAATTACGGAACGTTCACGCTCAATTTCGGATTCTCCCAATTTAGAGTTTTGGATGATATCGGCCAAAATTTCAACAGCCTTGGGTACATCCTTGGACAAACATTTGGCGTAGAAAACAGTTTGTTCCCGAGAAGTATAGGCATTCAAATGAGCACCCATGTTTTCTACTTCCAGTTCCAAATCGGTTTGTGAACGCTTGGCAGTGCCCTAGAAGAATCAATTTTAAATTTAAAATCTACATTATAACAATTCCAATTGGCAAACCTTAAAAGCCATGTGTTCCAAAAAGTGAGCAACACCATTATTTTGTGGAGTCTCAGAACGAGAACCAGCATCGATCCATAGACCCACTGTGGCAGTGGCTGCACCCGAATCTTCACTGGCTACACGCAAGCAATTATCCAAAGTGGTAACTTGAGTGGCTGGGATGTTGACGAGAGTCTTCTTCAAGCTGGCGGCATCGGAAGCTTTGTAACGCTGCAAATAAAAACATAATTAAGATCACACACCTAACCTCAAATGAGTTCACTCTTTTCGTCTCTACATTACAAAACTTTCCTTAATCCATAAAAATTTTTAGTTATAGAAATATCACTAATTCACTCATATATTTAAAGTTTATTACTTAAGAATTTTTCTCCTGGGCATTTTTCATTTTTTCCATTACGTAATGTCAAATGGTTTGCTTTTGTAACAACAAAGTGACGAGTTATGCCGAAACATTTCTGATGAAAAACTCAATTTAATATCTTTACCTTCAGCAAATTGATTCCTTTGGATAATTGTCGCATATTTTGCGAAACGCCAAGCACACGCATAGCCATGGTGAAGGGATTTGTTATTCAAATTTCCTTGCTGACTTAAATAATTACAAAATACTCTCGTAAAATGGGCCCCAACTGGACGATATTTTCTTAAACGAAGTTGGCTGCAGCTAATGACATTCTATACTGTCAAAGTTTACAATAGGGTACGTTCAGTGGGTTTTAGTAATCTTATGTTTAGACTTTGATCCGAGTGTGAAAACTGATTGCTTTCTACATTGTACAGCACTTGGCAGACTGTATTGTACTACTATTTAACATTCAATCTTGTGGAAAACCCCGAAATTCCATCCTTGTTTCGCAGGTTTTCCCAATATAACCATTAATTAAGAAATATCTACTTAATTCCCCACACAAAATTTGCTGAACGAACAAGGATTTTTGTTCTCTGTTCCTTTAAAATCAGTAAGATGAAATGTGTGCTATCCCTAACAAATGAGAGAATTATCGAAAAAATAAATTATGACATTTAAAAATTAAAAATAGAAAAATTTAATGAAATATAAAAAAATAGGAAGACTGAAAATTATGAATGAAAACTAAATGTTGAATGGCGTATGTACATTCAAACGAAAGTAATTTTTGTTCTCTCTCATCCGAGGTACGCATTTTGTCCCCGAGTTGAAATTTCCACAGAAAACTGCAAACAAAAGAGGCAATATTTTCAAAATGCTTGTATCGTTTTACAAGTGTCTTTCCAGCAAAATTTAAGACAGAAAAATACAAAAATATGTTCAAGATGTTAACATTTACACAAAAAGTTAAAAACATGAATGAAAATTGTAAAGTTAGTAATATAATAAATCTTTGAGAAAAAAAAACAATCATGTATTTTCGTATGAATTCCCATTAAAATCAACAAACAAAATTTTTGGAAGAAGAATTATTTTACTATGAATTACGAATCGAGCCGTATGAACGGGTTAATTCGTGTACCTAATTATGAGAGCGAACAACGTAATTGAAAGTGCATTGAGAACATAGCATTAGAGTAGATTCAAAACGACTAGGCTAAATGGGCTATAACATTTAAATATGCACAAAATGAAATCGATAACAAGATTGTTAAATAAATCGATAATAACGAGCGAAAAGTAAATTTATGGCCTCAACAGCAACATCAACAAAATCTGTGTTTTTCACCTGCGAAAAATCAAGAACTTGGCTTGGGTTTTCAATAATTTCTAATATATTATTTTAAATGGCTGGGAATTTCTGGCAGAGTTCGCATTCGCAACAATGGATCTTAGATCGGCAAGATTTAATACGTGAACGTCAATATGACTTGCAAATCCTAACCGAAGAAGAATACCAAAAAGTGTTTATTTTTTTTGCTAATGTTATTCAAGTTCTTGGAGAACAATTAAAACTCCGTCAACAGGTTATTGCAACCGCAACAGTGTACTTTAAACGATTTTATGCGCGCAATTCCTTGAAGAATATTGACCCACTGTTGTTGGCTCCAACATGTATTCTACTGGCATCAAAAGTAGAAGAATTTGGGGTGATTTCCAATTCCAGACTAATATCGATATGTCAGTCGGTTATAAAAAGCAAGTTTAGTTATGCCTACACTACCGACTTCCCCTACAGAACCAACCACATATTGGAGTGTGAATTTTATTTATTGGAGAATTTAGACTGTTGCCTCATAGTTTATCAGCCATACCGTCCGCTGTTACAGCTTGTTCAAGATATGGGTCATGATGATCAACTATTAACGCTAAGTTGGCGTATTGTAAACGATTCGCTCCGCACTGATGTCTGCCTACTGTATCCACCTTATCAGGTACGTTAAATATATGTATATATAAGCTCTTAATTTGCAAAACTGTGGATATCGGTACAAGCAATGTGTATTTTTTTTTTGAATCAGTTAAAATATTAGAAATATTATGTTAAAAAATCCAGATCTTAAGAACCTATAGTCTCGTAACCCGGTGTAATAAGCATAAAACACTATTTCCCCAAAGAAAATATGTCCACTTTTATTTTGTTCTCTGGCGTTTCCTTTACGTCACAGAATTACAATTGGTTACAGTTTCAGACACATACAATTTTCCTTGTTTCAAATATTAAATTAATGCATATTTGTTCCTTACGAAATTCTATCCTTATCATTCATTTATATTAATATATTTCAGATTGCTATTGCGTGTTTACAAATTGCGTGTGTGATACTACAGAAGGATTCCCAGAAAAGTTGGTTTGCCGAGTTAAATGTTGACCTCGATAAGGTTCAAGAAATTGTACGCGCTATTGTCAATTTATTTGAATTGTGGAAAGATTGGAAGGAAAAGGATGAAATACAGATGTTGTTGGCAAAAATTCCTAAACCAAAACCAGCACCGCAACGTTAACAATTATAAGTTATTATAAACATTATTTATTATTTTAATTAGCTACAAATATAAGTCGGAAAAGATAATTTGTGTTTTTTTTTTACATTTTATAGGTACTTTGTATGTCCACTAGAAAATTTAGTATCCAATAACCTTGCCTTATCCACAATTTGTTTGGTTTGATTTTTATCGATTTTATTTAGTTTCAAATCAATATCACGGCTAAAAGGTCTTCTTTCTGGTTTGGAGCCACTTTCTTTTAATTCCTTGGCCTAAAGTTAAATGAAGATATCTAAATATATAAATTTAAATTCTAAACAAAAGTTACGTACCTTTCTTTTTTCCTCTTTTCTCAATTTCTTCTGATGTATGTCCACCAGCGATTCTTCACGTTTGTGTTTCTTTTTATATTTTTTCGCCATTCTTTCCTGTTCATCGTCTCTTTGTTTATCATACAGAGCTTGGGCGTGAGCTTTTAATGATTCTTTGGATGTAGTTGGCTTGGTCCGTTCATTTTCAGTAGATTGCGGTGTTTTAGTCCAAGATGACCTACAGGTATTTTATTATATATGTATATAGATTTTGTTATTTATTTTATTTACCTATCACTAAAATCTGGACGTTCTTTTCCTTGATAGAAACCTCTTTTCAAATTATTAAGTGCTGCTAAGCCCCCCTTCATGCCCACATCGGGCAATTCTAACATCCATTCCTCGCGTACAGTCTGATCGTTAGAGCTGCTAGGCAAAAGACCATCAAGAGCGGCCATTTTCAATTCCAATGCTCTTTTCTCTAACTCTATTTGTGCAGCCGATATTTCTTGGTCAGTGTTTGCGGGAATTGGCCCATAAGTTCCATCTAATATTTCTTCTTGTTCTTCTTCATTTGTTGATTCGTTCTGTGTTAATTTATTGGTGTACATTATCTTGTCAGTGTCCAGACATATATTTTTGGGAAGAACCGGTCCTATAACAATGGGGTTCTCATTGTCGGTCTTATTTGCCAAGTGAGGTGGTAGGGCGGGTCCAAAAGAGTCAGCTTCACATGTTGTGGTGCTTGTATCAAGATGTCTTGGAGGAGCAATAGGCTGAATCTTCATAAATTCTTTTTCTTTTGTGGACTCAGCCCCCTTTTTTAATTTCTTTTCTTTGCTGGATTTCTTTTCTTTCTTATGTTTTTTTGATTTCTTCTTTTGTTTCTTTTTCAACTTGTGCTTTCTTTCATAGCTCGATGATGAGGATGAAGATGAACACGTCTCATTATCACTAGACATGTTTGTGATGGCATGTGTTGGCGATATGTTGTGTATGACCTCAATAGAATGTGATGATGTTGAAAACTAAAAAATATAAAGAGAAAAACATCTTAGATTTTTGGCGAACGAATGTATTTTTTATTTATCTTAACAAATGAGAAAAAGCTACAATACAAATACACATTATTAACTTAATCCCAAATGTTATTTTTGGCTTTAGGTATACTTTATTATATAGATCCTCTCGGAAAGCACTTTGAACTTTAATTTTAACGAAATAAATATTTCTAAATTATGACTCGAACAAAATTATAAAATGAATTGGAAACTAAATTAGCTAACTTCATAATCCAGAATTATGCATAAAAATGCACGTCAATTTTTGAAAAATAAGGATATAATTGGAGATCAAATTGCAAACTTTATATTTTCATAAATTATCAGAAATACACAGTTCATAAAAAAGTTTAATATATGTGTGTAACAAATTATAACACAAAAAATTAACGGTTTTATGTTTATAAAAAAAGAACATGTAAATATCCATACAAAAAGTTCTACTTATTTTAAATTCCTACACTAAATAAGTTTAAAACAAAAAATCACTAACAAATTAAAGAAAGCATTGGACTTGAAAGAAATAAAGAAGCTCCATTCTAGCATTTTATTTATCGCCACAAACTTTACTATATATTAACACTGGTCTCATTCCAAACAGACCAACAACAGCAACAATTATATTAGCATGGGACGTAATTGTTACTTCGCGAATGTTTTCATTGCTTTGCGTGCTGCATATATCAATGATTTTGTTACCCCAGCACTGGGTATATTTTTTAAAGTTTGAGTTATACTGCTACGCCACACTATATCGTTAACTGACATTGACACAATTTCGTGCAGATTTTTCAAAGCGGCCAGAGGTTCAACTATGTCAATGTAGCTACCCTTAAAAACGGCATTGCGTATTAGTCGCCTTCTTAGTTCAGATGGAGCCTGACGTAAATGAAATTCAATAGCCTTTATTGATTTGTCTTGTTCAAATTGGGTTACAACCTTTTCGGAGCCCTTTTCTTTGGCAGCAAAATCAACGGCGACATATTCTGACAAGTCTTTCATTGCCGGTTTGTATAGTTCGAAGAACTCGTTCTCTTGTGCCTTAACAATATTTGCAACTTTGTTTTTATTTTCACCGAAAATCATACGAAAATCTCCTTTATAACTTAAATTAGCTATGGCATGGAACAGTTGATATGAAGTAAATTTCTCTGGCAACATTATTAATGCTATATGAAAAGCGTTTCGTAAATTTGTTGCCAAGGCTTGTTTTATTTGTACGTCATCATCTGGAGCCACAATATCCTGCACGGGTTTGTGTAGGCGTCCTGCCATGTACAGATGCTTCCATTCCAGTAAATCTTGCAGCATTTGTTCTTTCGATATAACACCATACTTGATTTGTACACCAATATCGGGCAATGGTACAAGTGTATTAAAATAAACACCGGCTCCAAAATTCTCTTGATATTTCATGATAAGTTTTGGTCCCAAATGCCGCATTGCTGAATAATGGCTCTCATGTCGGCTTATATTTTCTGCATGCCAACCCAGTGGATCACGTACACAAAATACCAAATCAATGATATTATTCTTCTGCTGGTTTATATCGGCATATCCAATTTGCTGTTTTACCCCAGAGCCATATGCAAAAACATACGAAATACCTCCTCGGGGAAATCGTGCCAAAATATCTTTATACAGATTCATGTTGCGCTATACCTATGCACAGAATATGAAGGGTAATGTTTATGATATTTACTTGTCTAAGAATTGGTTTAATCTAAGTATATTTCCATTCAGAAATTTACACTTTCTTTGAAGACCGAAACACCGCAAGTTTACACAAGAATGGAAGTTCAAACTAGAACAAAAAAGAGAAAAAAGGAACAAAGCAAAAATGATTTGGACACACTTACGGCAAAATATACTTACATCGCATTAAAGTCGAGGCCTCGGACATCTGCACACTTTGTGGAATCACTGAAAGTGAGGATCACCAAATTTTTCATTGCCCAAAATTCTGTAACGAAAGGAAACAATTTAAAATCTTCGAAAGGTACAAGGACTTACCATCAATTTTAAAAACCTTCTCGCCAGAAAACTTCGTCGAACTGTCAAACTTCATTCACAAATGCAATCTTCAACTCTGATTTTCTCTGTGAGATAGCAGAAACATAAACAAAACAAAGAATACGATTATTAAGTAATCTATAACCTAGTAATTTGGCATATGTGTACTTCGGGTACCTGCCAACCATGACGAAGAAGGAGAAAGAGAATCAAAAAAAAAAAAAAAAAAAGCAAAAATGACTGATAAAGTTAAAAGTCAAAGCAAATACAGGTATCTACAAGATCGATTCGAATTTCTCCCAGCAAAACAGATGCTGCAAAAACGAAGGAGTTTGCCTCGAATATCGCTTTTACCAAGGACCATGGTAGAAGAATATAGGTAGATGCATCAACGCTTGGTAACATTGATATGTCAAAATTATTAAAATGTTTTATGAGAAATAATTGGATTTTTAAATGTTTTTTATGCGACGCAAATCAAAGGTTATTATAAAATGAATTTCTCAACAATTTTTACAAATTTTTTCATGCAACATTTTCAATTCTAAAATCGGTTTGACAGTTCATTGTCCCAGCAGCTGTGTCAATGCGACTACCTGTATTCTTCTACCATGCCAAAGACATGAAATGTTCGGTGTGTACGGTAACCCCATATTTTGTAATATTTTTTGATAGAGTTTGACAGGATTAATAGTTATTTGTTGCAGACGGTACCTTGTGCATCGGGCGGTTTTAGATTTTTATTGTACATTATTGGTAATGAAAATATAAAAAAATAATAATCTGCATCAAAATATATCTGCGGTTAAGATTTGTGCCAATGTTGTATTGATGATTTAGCCGTTATTTTACAATTTTTTCACTCGAGACAGTGAAAATCGTATTTTTTTCAGTAAATTCTTACTGATTGAATGTTACTTCAAAAATAAATTGCCTGAAATTATTAAAAAATTTTGCATCGACCATAATGTTATTCTGTTTTTTAACCTATTAAAATCTTTAGAAAAATATTAAACATAAATTTTGACCTATCCTTAAATTTTCGATTTTTTGTTTATATATTCAAAATCAATCAATGTTTTGTTTATTCGATAATAAACAACTTGGTGCAATTGTTTTGATAGTAATTCTGACCGTACAATCCATACAGGCATGGTGGGATTAAGGGGTAAAATCATGCAATCATATGTTTACAATGTTTTCAAAAAATATTAATTTGACATCTCATTGTCAAAATTTGTCATGGTATAAGAATACAGGTAGACGCATCGACACAGCTGCCTAGATTGAAAATTTTGAATGAAAAATTATTAAAATTTGTTAAAAATACATAATATAACAATGATATAAGAAAACGTATAAAAATCTACGTATAATAACAACAATTTCCAACTTAGCCTACCTTCTCTTCACTGTACTATTATCCTGGAATTTGACCCAATCCCAAGTTACATAAAATCGAGATATTTTAATGTTCAAGTTCAAAATTTAAATATGCAACAAAAGGCTTTCTTTAATTTTATTTTTTTAACAAAATTCTTATATTGGAAAAAAAAAAACCCGCGAAAAAAGAATGGAATTTCGGTGTTATTTTACAAGATTAAATCTAAAAAAATTTTCAATTTTTTACCCATTTCGTCGATAATGTGTATTTATTTTGCAGCCAAATATTATTGTATTTTTTATTCAAAACAATACACACACATACACGAAACGTTTCTCTCTTTTTGCATTTTCAATTTGAAAATATTTTATTTGGAATTAGCAGCACTTATTGTGTTTTGAGAACAACTTTACAAAATGTGAAAAATGAAGATATTAATATGTAATAAGAAAATAAAATGCTATTTCCAACATTTTTAGACAAACGACATTAGCAACACGTTCAAAGGATTCCGGGGAACACATCAAATCTATTTTTCTTTTATCGCTTATATTTTTATTTTTTGCTAATTTCCTTGTAAAATTCCTTTCTTTTAATTCTTTTAATAGGAGACAAATTGGTTTGTTTTGAAAAATCAGATGTCAGTCTGTTTACTTTTTCGCATTTTCTTTGCAAACGAGAATACAACTACTTTACTCTCTCAGAAAGATGTTGCTGGACAATTCCTGCAGGAAAAGTAACCAGACACACCTATTGATGTCATTTTGTATTTAATCAGCTGATATTAGGTGTATGTAGCACCATCTGCTTACCATGGTACAATGATATCAAGGTAGGGCTATGATACCATATGATTTCAATTTTTTTATTTTCTTTGCTTAATATGTCACCTTTGTTTGTTTATATATGTGTTTTCTTTTCAATAACAAAAAAATTGTCCAGAAAACATTCAAATTCGGATGTTTTCAAAATGTTTATTTCATCGTATGCATCGACAAAATCTAGAGTTTTTGTAGCGAAATAATCCTTTAGAGATATATAGAACCTGGTTTTGAAAAGAAGTGTTGACCTTTCATTCAGTATTCGCGGTTTTCAATTATTTATTCAAAATTAATGCAACAAGTTGTTTGATTTTGTTATTGTTTTGATACTATTTCTGACATTACAAGCCAAACAGGTAGACCTCTATACTTGCAATTTTTTCAAAGTTGACCTACCTTCTCTTCATTGTACCATGCTGCTTACCATGTAATGGCATATAAACAATAGTTCTATTCATGGTACAATGAAGACAAGTAGACTAAGTAAGAAAAATTTGCAATTAAAGAGGCCTGCCTGTATGGGTTGTAATGTCGAAATTACAATTACATCAAATACCACATGTTGTTTATTATCAAACAACTTGTTGCATTGATTTTGAATAAATAAACAAAAACGCAAAAATTTTATCGAAGATCACAATTTCTTTTTAAAATCATGTTCTATTTGTTTAATAATTTTGACATTACCATAGAATGGTGGGGGTATAAAAATTGTATTCAGTTGATTGCTATGCCTTATCCTGTCTTCATTGTACCATGGTTTGAACCTCCTTTTCAATTGTCTACTATACAACACTATATTATATATTTGTACTATATTTATATAATTAATGCATCTGTTTATAATACACTATGAAGCGTAAATATGTATGTTTCAATTTTTTAAAAAAAAAGGGGGAAACACCTTGCTATTATTTCAAGCCATTCATTTCTCTGATAGCATGAGTAATCACCATATGGATATACATCTATATTTTGTTCGCTTTGGGGGTATGCCCTTTATTTATTAATATGAGTATAAAAACGTTTCACTGAAATGTGCGCTAGTTAGTTGATCGAGAAATATTTAAAAAATCAGTTGTTCGAATAGCTACTATTAAATAATGACTGATAATAAAGAACATATTGTTAATCTGACTACAGAAGGAGATGATATTGTTGATCCATGGACAGTAGCCAGTAATAGCGATTCTGGAATTAATTATGACAAGTTAATAGGTAAGGAAGTGCACAAATTAAAATAGCGTTGTTGTTGTAAAAATGTATTTATATATTTTCGTTTCAGAACGCTTTGGTTCGTCCAGAATAGATGACACGATAATAAAACGTATTGAAAAGATAACCGGCAAACCAGCTCATCATTTCATTCGACGTGGGATATTCTTTTCCCATCGTGAATTGGACACAATTCTGACATTGAAAGAACAAGGCAAACCATTTTATTTATACACTGGACGTGGCCCCAGCTCTGAGTCATTGCATTTGGGTCACTTGATACCATTCATTATGACAAAGTATGTAATATGGTAGTTAAGGTGAAAATAGATAATTTGAAAGCTTTTTTTACCTTCATAATAAGATATCTTCAAGAAGCCTTTGATGTTCCGCTGGTCATTCAAATGTCCGATGATGAAAAAACAATATGGAAAGACTTAAAAGTTGAAGAATCTATTACATTGGCCCATGAGAATGCCAAAGATATTATAGCAATGGGTTTCAATCCAGAGAAAACATTTATATTCAATGATTTAAATTTTATGGGGTAAGTTTGACTTTTTATATTTTATTTAAAGAACAAAGATTTAGTGGCAAAGATTCCATCATGGTACAATAAGGAAGTAGAACATAATTATGAAACCACTGAAATACAGCCCTGAGGCTACGCCCGGTTTCCGTCAGAATTTCTCCAAAGTTATTCCCATTTATTTGATATTTTTCCTCATTTTTAAAATGAGTTGAATTGCTTGGATTTTCTTTCAAAAAATTGGAAACCAATATTTCAGTTCAATGAGAAAACTGGTTAATATCCTTAATGCCTTTAACGTCAAAATAATGTGATACTAGACTCTCCCTAGTTAACGATAGAATAAAATATGATTCTCGCTAATGGCAATTAAAAAAAAATAATAATAAAAAAGGATTTTCACTATTGGTTTAGCTCATGAGATAATATTAATAAAGCTCTTTGGAATTAACGTACAATTTTTGACTTCGCTTTAAATTATGTGTGTAAATGTAGATTCTATATCAGATTTAAAATAAATCCGATTGTGAGATTTACTTTGTATGGTGATAATGAAGGCTCAAACGGATAAAATTGTATATTTAAACCCTGTATATATTTAGGTTCACGGATACCAGTAGCTTTAGCTTTGAAAATGGAGGCGAATTCTTTGAGATTTTTTTTCTTTTTTTTTTTGACATTAGCTTCATAACATTAGCTTCAGCATACAAAAATAGTTTGAATTTTAAAATATAAATTGACATTCAGAATATTGCGAGGAAACATTAAGACAATTTTGAGATTATATTCCGATTTAACAGTATCAGTATCTTCATAACGAATGTTAACCCGGAAAAAAGTTCTAAGGTAAACATGCTTTGAACGTTTGTCTTTCATTTTTTCTTGTTTATTTGTTTTTCTTTTTTTTGCCTCTATAATTTTTGAGGTATTAGCATTCATGAGGTAG